GTCTGGCGCCACCACCAATGAGTGATTTTATTAAACAAAAGTCTAGCAGTGTTGTCGGGTCTCGACTGACTCGAGCCACTGCTAGAGGTGACTGTGAACTGACATTCAGGCGGACTACCTTTTCACAGACTGCTCTGTCATACCAGGGAGTGACCTTCTGGAATAGTCTTCCACTATCTGTGAGGGAAAGTACCAGTCTAAACATCTTTGAGTCGCTTAAAACAGCGGCTGAGGGACACACAAACATGTGATCATGTCTAATACTTATATTTTTTATTTGTCCGGGAAAAGAGTTGGTACTTTATTAAAAGGGAAACAAGTGTTAGTGTAATGGGTGAATGTAATCTCACGACAGTCAGGGCATATGCAGTATCGGGGTTTGTGCAATACAATTGATGTGTTTCCGTTATTGCTGTCTATGTTGTTCTCTGTGTCCACTTTCTTTGACATTTGTTTGTGATAGTATAATGGGATGACTGTTTTTGTCTCGGTCACATGACTTGTAAATACTATCTCTGTATGTTTACACTACTTTGTGTCTAACATCAACCTGCCGGAGGGTCTGCAGATGGAAATTAGCCCAAGGCTATAATCTGGCATATTTACATTTATTGAAATGTTCATTAATATGTATTGCCCCTCTGCCTAAATAAATAAATAAATAAATAGCAGCCAGGCAGGATGAATCAAGCACACGAAGTGATCCCTCAACTACAGAAGATGCATCAGTAGGATCATATGGAGCTTAATTCAGAGTAAGAACAGCGGCAAAATCTGCGGCAGTATTGGGTGTGATTATACGAGAGAAGCTGGGACGGAAATATTCAATACGAGGGGCATAGTCCAATTTCAAATTAAACAAAACTGGTGAGTGATCTGAAAAAGTCGCAGGTAAAATGCCAAGATCACTAATTTCCAGCTCATGACAGAAAACCAGGTCAAGTGTGTGTTTATGTCCATGTGTGGGCCCACTAACACGTCGGGACAAGCTAAAAGAGTCGATGAGATCTAGGAAATCCCTTACCAAAGGTTTGTCAGGACAGCAGATGTTAATATTAAAATCACCAAGCAAGATCATTTTTCCGTATCTACAGGAGACTTCAGCCAGAAAAGCTGCAAATTCATTTAGAAAATCCTTTTTGTATTGTGGTGGACGGTAGATGAGAGCACATAATAATGTAGGAGAACGACGCAATTCAAATACGCTTAATTCAAAGGACAATGGAGTTGATTGATGGGTAATCGGTGTGCAGATAAGATCTGATTTAAATATAGTCAATAGACCTCCGCCCCTGCGGTGTGCTCATGGAATGTTAATGAAGGAGCAACCAGGAGGTAACAGTTCAGCTATTGAGGCCGAATCCCCATGGGTGATCCAAGATTCAGTGGCGCATAAAAATAAGATGCCATCAGTGTGTGAGGTATCTCAATGTTTTCATGACAAAACTCTAACATGAGACTGTGCTCTAACCTGTCACATAATATAACAAGCCTAAAGGTTGGTTTATGCTTGACGCGTCCGCGAGGTCCGCACGGCTCCGCGCGGAAAAGTTGCGTCATTTTGCGTCATTTTAACAACCACGCCCCTCCACCGCGTCTCCGCACGGCCCAAGATTTCCGCAACGCGCACCTCGGAAAATTTCTAACCACGCGGACGGTCGGACGCGGAAAAACATGGCGGACCGGCACGGCAGAGGTTCGTAAATACAGACATTTGTATGATTCAGCTCTCAAAGATCACCGTGATCAACATGTTGTTAATAATTCTTGGAGAGAAATAGCTCGCACTGTCGGAAAAGACGAGAACGCTGTTAAAAATGCTGAAATGCCATGTTGTAAACAGTGATTTCTACTTCTACTATGGTGTAGTGTTGGATGCATGCTGTAGAGCTCCATGCTGCCCCGTTCAGTTTGGGAGAATATTGTCTCACCGCAGAGACGAGCCGCACAAACCATAAACACTGCGAGTTGTGAAGCGCGTTCCAGCCGCGAGCCGCATCACCGCGCGGAAAGTGAATGCGTCAAGCATAAACCAAGCTTAATGCAGTCAAACATTTCAGATGGACCGTATGACAGCTGTTAACGTTGGCCCTGCCCTACTTTACCTCTACATTACAGTTCCTTTATTCGTGTCCATCCTAGAGCTCCTCTCTGACCTTCATGCTTATTTAGAGCAGCTGATTTTTAAAGCTAGCAGAGTTCATCCTTGGTGGTGGGTTCACTCACTCATTTAACCCTTCACCACTGAAATCAGTGTGTTCATTCCAATCCTCCTAAATAATCCTCCAATCGTCCAACTGGAATCCTTAAGGGTCCCGTAACATCCATCCTGTCAGATCAGGCCTTGGGAGCCCAGGTGTTACTAGAACTAATGGTGTCTCCTCACCAGCGTGAGCCTCCAAACTGTGAAGGTTGGTCTCCAAACGTGAACTTTAAATTTATGCATTTATCTCCTCTTGTAAAACTTTAACATGTTTTAAAAGGCTAGTATCATAAGTCACACCTCCCAGACCAAAGATAAGATAAAACATTATCATAAACACTGCAGAGACGTCATTATTTATGAAATATGTTATTTTCCTGAGCCATTACTTCAGCCAAGATATAGGACTGCATGGATTTGATGAAACCATGCTGTCTCATGCAGTCCTATATGTGTAACACACACACACACACTGCAGCATGTTAGAATAATTTGAATGACTAATTTAACTACATTGAACTGCTTTAGTAATAATTTAATCTCTTATTCTGGAGTAAAATAAAGAAACAAGCTAAATCATCACATATCTGTGGCATCAAGAAGCATCTTCTGAGTTCAAACACAGGGATGGAGCACAATGTTTACACCTGAACAGTATCAAGATGTTTTAACTCACCGAGGCCTGCAGGTCTTCTGTTTTATGAGCAGAGCACTGATAATCCACTTGTTATGAGCGCTAAACGTTATTTTGCCGCTGCCATGCGGAGCGGTAGAGAAACACGTTTCAAACACGGAACCGAGTCCGGCTACCGAACCAAGCAGATTTCTGATGATGTCACACCGGTGCGCGAAGGTGCGGGATCCAACACACAGGAGAGGAGGGAGAGAGGAGGTAAACAGCGAGTTGAGGAACTGAACCGATGTCTTTGACAAAGTGTACACCCCCACACTCCACCACGGTTTAGATGCGGCGCTCATGCAGGTGTCTCTTTCCGTTCCAACACTGCTACATGTAATATTTTTAATTTATCAAGCCTTTAATTTATTTTTACTCAGTAACGGATATGATTAAAAATGTAGCGAATTACAATTCTTTTTTAAAAACTTACTCAAGTAAAAGTAAAAGTACAGCTTTTAAAAACGACTTAAAAAGTATAAATTTACAAAAAAGCTACTCAATTACAGTAACGTGAGTAAATGTAATTTGTTACTTTCCACCTCTGATAAAGACACAAGTTCCCACTGAGACAGAATGGAGCGACACACACTTGGCAACATAAGTGTATAAAGAAGAAATTAGCAAAACAATTTATTCTAATGAGCAGATATTCATCTAAAGTTCATACTAATATTTCTTATAAAGTAGCACATATAATGTTGTTCTCCTTTTTTGTTTTGTGTGCATTCTGAAAATAAACAGTACCTCTGGAAAAGGACTACATCTATGTTGCAATTTGATGTGATACACAAAGTTGTGGTACTTTCAGAGGCTGAGATGTTCTAGAAAATATTTGGAAAGTGAATTTTTTTTATCTAAGTTCTGAGAGAGATACTCAATTTTGGTGTAAGATAGAGATTTTTCAATAATAGCTGAGTCTGATTCAGAATTTGTAATCCAATGTTCATTTTGCCATCTCATAAGATATGTAGTTTAATCTATAGGATCATGTAATGCCAAACCCACACACAAGTTCCCATTGAGACAGAATGAAGCGACACACACTTAGCAAAATAAATGTATGAAGAAGAAAACAATTTATTCTAATGAGCAGTTTTTCGTCAAAAGTTCTTGCTAATGTTTCTTATAAAGTAGCACCTATAAACTTATTGTCATTTTTTGAGTGTGTACTATGAAAAATAATCTGTTGGTCTTAGAAACAATCCTTGGAATACAAAACAAATATTGTCAAATTTTGTCATAATTATTTTCTAAAATTTTTATTGCAGATACTTATTTAATTTATAACAACAACGTGGAATAACCCTTTTAGAAAGAAATTAATAAAGTAATTGTATTAAAAACTCTCATTAGTTGAAGGAATGGCAGTTCCACTGTGGAGGTCCACTCTTTGATAGGTATACATCGATCAGAGATCCAAGTCCCCTCTTGGTAATTTTGTCAAAAATGATCAAAAGTCACATTTTCAGTAATATCATGGGAAAACATATTAAAAGTAAATTTCCTGTTTTAATTTTTTTTCTCTCTAAAGGACTAGAAACAGAAGTCCACTCTTGGCAGTGTAGCCTGATAGTCCACTGTTGGTACTGTTGACGTGTATGTGTGTGTATGTGTGAGTTCTTCCCTTAGTCTTTAGGTTTAGTTTTGTGTTTTATATAGTGTTAGGTTTATCTGCCCTCCACTGGTTCTCTTCCCCATCCAGATAATTGCTGTCACCTGCCTTCCCTCCAGCTTCACTCCACACACCTGCTTCCTGTTTCCCTAATTGCTCCTCCCTGTCTATATAAGCCCTCCTTGTCTCATTGTTGTTGTCAGCGTGATTTATTCTCAGTCTGCTCGTTCCTCTTGTGTTTTTTGATTTCTTGATTTTTGACTTTGCCTTCCTGCCCTTTTCAGTGATTTCAAAATGCAATAACAGTGATTTCCAAATGCTCTAAAATGGAAAATTGCTGTTTCCACAGGGTAATTCCTCTTTAGATCTACAGTATACAACCCCACAGTGATACCATATCAAGTTATTCTGATGTTGCTTTCCCTAACTCTTATTGTCAGGTTTATTCACCTAAGACACCATATAAAAACACAACACAACACAGGAAAGAGACACAAAAGTCAGAATTCTGTTTAAGCTTGAGGAGAATGGAATAAAGTCACACCATCCCAGTCTCCACTGAGCTGATGCTTCCTGAAACCATTCTGACCTCTGAAATCCGAGCACCCATATTTATTACAATCGGGAGTTCCCTAGTTACATGCCTGAGAGCTGATTCTGAAGGGAGGGGGAAAAACACAGCTCTCAGTCCTGCAAGTTTAAAACAAAGAGCATTCATAATTACACAAAGAACTTTCAGTGTCTTATCACACGATGAGTCAGCAATTGATAGAACATCGGATCTTCTCAGGTCGTCCTTGGGCCACATTAAGCCAGGTTTTAACACTCTTAAAAACTCATGAGGGAATTTTACAATACAGCAACTGTTTAGGTACATAAAAGATAAAATCATTGAGCATAAAACATGGTAAATAAAACAATCTTTAATTGTAATAAAAGCATAAATAAAACAATCTTTAATTGTAATAAAAGCATAAAACATGATAATCAAAAACATGAATAATAGTTCTGACACTTATAAATCTTTCTGAAATAAAAATTTCTTGAAATGTTAAAAAGTGGTCTACTATATTGGCCAAGTGTTTTCTTTTCTTGGAGAAGTAAGAATATAAGTAATTTAAAACAATAAGGAAGAAAACAGGAGCAGCTCATCAGGTAAAATATTTATTAAGACACAACAAGAAAAGATGGTAAAAACAGAATATGATTGTTTTCATTAGTAAAATTCATACAATTTTAATTAAAGCTTAAAAACTGCTAAAAACACACACAGAGAATTTATAAAATGAGGCTAAAACCTGTAAGAACTCAGGGTACCTGAGAAAAAAACTAATGTTTTTGGTTTTTACAATTGAGACACGAGAGTGTAGACCAGGCTTCAAACTGAACCATGGAGTCACTATTTATATGATGGTGTGTACATAATAAGTTAAAAAATAATAATAATTGGAGGCTAAATTTCTACTTTCTGTTGGAGCTGGCCATCCCGATGACGCAGTCGTTCACCTGCGAAGATAAATAAATCAGCATTTCTAATTAATACAGCAACAAATGAAGGTGATGAAACAAAATATTCCCTTATAAAAATATACAATTTTAGCTCAATCACTAGACTCACGTTAGCCTGTTAGCAAACAAGCTACAAAAAATTCAGGATGTATTAAAATAATAGAAATCAAAATCAAATCAAAGCTTCATTTATAAAGCGCCTTCCGCAACCGTGTCAGGAAGCTCAAGGCGCTGAACCAGGGTATATACAGCAATCCTTAAGTAAAATTTTCTACTTTTTAATACTTTTTTTTTTGCTACCTTCAGAATTTTCTTTAAAACCATCACAACACTAAATTGCAAGTGTTAATCAGCGACCTATTTACACATATTTTAACATATATAACATACAAAAAGAATAGACTTAGAGACTCACTGATGTTGACAACATATTGCACATATTTATTTTAATTAGAAAATAAGCCAGGCACTTCTTTCCAGCGGTTCAGACAGTTGACCACGAGGCCTGAAATGATGCAGAACGACCACTGAATATGACGTCATCATTATGTGACCCGATATGCTAAAGTAGGGCTGCTCGATTATGGCAAAAACAATAATCACGATTATTGTGACTGAAATTGAGATCTCGACTATTTTTCAATTTATGTAGATTTTTTTTGTTGTTTTTATTCAGTCATAAAACTGCTCAGGGCAAAAATAAACAAGAGACAAGATGATCACTAAAATAACTCCTGATTCCCAGTATAAAAAGACCAATATACTTACAGCTCATAGTTTATGACCCAAGGGCTATAGACCTTGGTTTAACTCATTTAAGTCTAACCAGTACAGACCCAAATACCAATATCTTGCAAATACTGACAGCAAGAATTATACAGTGGCATTTATAACAAATAAATTGATGTTCACAAAATTTTGCATAACATTTATTTAGTCGTGTCAAGGTGCTGTAGGAGAGTGCACTAGCACCGTGTCCTCAGAGAGATTAGTTATCAGCCTGAGGAACTTATTTCTACCTTATTTATAAACTATTTACAATTCCATCAGTTAATGTAATAATTGTCCCAACCACAGCTGCACCCCCCACCCCCAACCCTATTCTCTGCTGTGGGAGACTCTTAAATGCTATTTGAGAGGTCAAATTATTTCTTATTCTGTACGTACTAATAAAAAGATTAATGCCAGGCTTAAAGAACTTACGGTGGCAATTAGTAACTTTGATCAAAGTTATGCACTGAATCCTTCTCCAGAATGACTCAAGCAGCGCCTTGATTTGCAAGCCGAATTTGATCTTATGTCAACCAAAGAGGCTGAGCACTTATTACTACGCAGTCGTGGCTCATATTATGAATACGGTGACAAGGCTAATCGCTTGTTGGCGCATCAGTTACGACGTCAGGCCTCTTCACGTGTGATACCTGGTATTAAAAACTCTTACGACAATATTACTACAGATCCGTTGGAAATTAATTCTACCTTTAAAGCATTTTACTCTTTGTTGTACAAGTCAGAATTTCCCACGGATAAAGCTAAAATGAATGAATTTCTTCAGTCTCTTTCAAACCCGGTTATCGGTACTCATAAGGCCGGGCAACTGGACTCCCCACTATCTGCTGATGAAGTATTAAAAGCTATTACAGCTATACAGTCTAATAAAGCCCCAGGCCCGGATGGGTTTCCTATAGAATTTTATAAAACATTTATTGGTAAACTGGCACCTTTGCTTTTGTCTGTGTTTAACGAGTCCTTGGAATCAGGTTCATTACCTCCTACTTTCACGCAGGCCACCATAGCGCTCCTTCTCAAAAATGACAAGGACCCAACTTCCTGTGATTCTTACAGGCCATTATCTCTGCTTAATGCCGATGCAAAGGTATTGGCTAAAGTAATTGCGTCTCGCCTTGAGGATGTGCTTCCTCAAATTATCTCCGAAGAGCAGAATGGCTTTATAAAGGGACGGCAATTATTTTTTAATACCCGTACACTCTTTAACGTTATTTACTCAAAGCATCTATCTCAACTTCCTGAACTTGTGATTTCTTTAGATGCTGAAAAGGCTTTCGATAGGGTGGAGTGGGAATATTTGTTTGCAGTTTTGAAGAAATTTGGTTTTGGTGATAAATTTACTTCTTGGATTCAGCTTCTTTATTCATCCCCTAAAGCCAGTGTTCATACTAATGATGTTTATTCTGATTATTTTGCGCTGGGTCGTGGTTGTCGTCAAGGTTGCCCTTTGTCACCTTTACTCTTTGCCATTGCCATCGAGCCGCTGTCCATTACATTAAGATGTTCTTCTGTATTCAAGGGAACCCCCCGTAATGGAATTACACATAAAGTATCATTGTATGCGGATGACTTGTTATTACATATGACTGACTCTGCTCGCTCCATTCCTGCTGTTTTAAGTATTCTGGAGAACTTCAGCTCGTTTTCAGGTTATAAATTAAATTTAGGGTAAAGTGAGTGTTTTCCTGTTAATACGGCAGCACGTCAACTCCAACAGTCCGATCTACCCTTTCGTCTTAGTCCCTCTGGGTTTAAGTACTTAGGGGTTAACGTGACTCGCTCTCTATCTGGCCTTAAATCAGCAAATTTGTCTCCTCTTTTATCTAGGATCACATCTGATATTCAAAGATGGGGTAATCTCTTTCTTTCTTTAATCGGTAAGATTAATGTCGTTAAAATGAATATCCTACCAAAATTTTTATTTTTATTTCACTCAATTCCCTTATTTTTGCCGAAACATTTCTTTGTTTCACTGGACAAGATTATTGGTTCTTTTATTTGGGGAGGGAAGCCGCCTAGGGTTTCTAAAACGTTGCTGCAGCAATGCAGATTTAGTGGAGGACTTGCATTACCTAATTTTCTAGCTTATTACTGGGCCGCTCACATTCAAAAACTCTGCTACTGGCTAAAATCTTCTGGTTCCTCGTGGTGTAAATTGGAGCAAATATCATGTAAGGGCTCCTCTTTACCAGCTTTGCTCTATTTCTCTTTACCCGTAAAACCCTCGTTGTATACTGATAATCCGGTGGTTCTTAACACACTCAAAATCTGGTTTCAGTTTAGACGACACAATAATTTTGTAATGCCATCCTCTTCGGGTCCTCTAACCAACAATCATTTGTTTCCCCCTTCACTTTTGGACACGACATTCTCAGTGTGGTGTGACAAGGGTATAGGACAGTTTAAACATTTATATGTGGATGGTGTGTTCGATAGTTTTCCCAATTTGTCTTCTCGTTATAATCTCTTGGGAACAGGCTATAGCAAGGGTACGATCTTCCACCTCCTGCGCTCGTCTTGGACTTATCCAATTCAAGGTCATTCATAGGGTGCATTTCTCTAAGTCTAGACTTTCTGAACTGTATCCGGAAGTGGAAAATAAATGTGATAAATGCCAGGGTTCTCCTTGTCACCTTAGCCACATGTTTTTTTGTGTCCTGAGCTACAACGTTTCTGGACAGGGTATTTTGCTATTATGTCAACTGTTCTTGGGGCAACTCTTCATCCTTGTCCTCTGATTGCGGTATTCGGGATTCCTGACCGCTCACTTATACTGGACTCTACACAAAAGGATATCATTGCCTTCACATCCCTATTAGCGAGACGTTTAATATTGTTACATTGGAAGTCTGCTAAGTGTCCTACTGTTTCCCAGTGGCTTAAAGATGTCATGTTTTTTTTAAAACTTGAAAAAATTAAATATACGCTGAGAGGTTGCACGGCCAATTTTTTTCATAAGTGGCAACCCTTTATCTCTTATTTTACTAGTCTAGAGGTATTACCTGTTTAATTGTACTTCTGTTAGTTATATTCCGGTAATATGTTTGACGGTTGTGTTGATCTGTGTGGGACGTGGGACGGGGGACGTGGGACGGGGGGGGGGGGGGGGGGGGGGGGGGCTTTGTTTTTTGGTATGGTTTTTTTGTCTAATTGTCTTGTCCCCCTTTTTTTTGTTGTTGTTGTTGTTGTTCTGTCTGATTGTTGTTATTTACCTAGAAAAAATGAAGAAAGGTTAATTGTATTTTGGTAACTGCAAGTACTGTTGTTTTCTTTCAATAAAAATATAATTAAAAAAAATCACCAAAAAATAGGACACAGTCATATTTTAGGATGCAGTCTGCCACAAGATCACAAAAATCATTAAGGAAGTTAGAGTCAGTCTTTGGAGGGCGATAAATCAGCACAACGAGCAGGCGGGGGGAGATGCACAGCTCAAATAAGCACAGTTCAAAGGAAGAAAATGACATGTTGGGTGTAAGCTGTTTACAAGGAAAGCTGGATTTAAAAACAACAACCAGCCCTCCACCTCTGCCCCGTGATCTGGGGGTATTAAAACAGGAGCAGCCAGGTGGTACCAGCTCTAGCAGGGCGCTTGAGTCACCAAACGGGATCCAGGGCTCACAGATGCAGAGAAAACTCAAGTCATGCTGAATAAAAAAGTTTTGTTCAGCACAGACCTGGCATTGACTAGACCAAACCGGGTCTGCGGCGGGGCTGCAGCACCGAGATCGCGCACGGGCACAGTCTCCTTTAACTCTGTGCCCGTAACCGAGCGCAGATTCTCCCAGCAAACCCCAGTCTGGCGAGGTCTTCGAGACGATTGGCCGTGGCGCGGAGCCGGCCAAGTTCCCTAGGCAGGGCACAGAGTAATCCATGAGACATCTTGGAACCACCGGGTCAGAAGCTGGGCCAAATCGGACCAGCCGCTTCTTCAGGGATCCAGCCCGACGTCTCACGCTCCGGCTACCTCTCTTTCCCCGTCTTCTCCGATGCTTCCTTCTCGAGCTGGGGTGGAAAGAGGGCCGACACATCACGGCTTGGGGGGAGAGAGCACACGGGCAGTCCAACCAGCAGCGCCATCCGTGAGGTTCCCAGCGCGCGCAACCCGCTACATCAACGGGAGGACGAAGCCTCAGCAGCGCAGCTCGATCGTATGTCACCAGAGAATCCACACCATTCAAAAAAGTCATCAGAGACAACAAAAATGCATAAAAGCCAATAAAACGCCAATAAAAGCCAGTAAAAAGCAAGGTACCACTGCATAAAGAGGACGAGCAGCTCGCAGCGTGCACCCGCGTGAGCGCCATCTCACCATGTCGAGAAATCATTGCGCTGTTTCTAAGTTTATAAGCCAGGATTATTAGTGATGATGTCACCAACCTTACTGGCAAAACTCAGGGAGTTCAGAGTTTCCCCAAAGCTGTCCGGCTCGGGGGAAATGTTGACGAACATCAATCTAAGAAGAGAAACACAGCTCCGTTAGAAATCCTATTCTCAGTTTCAGGAGACAAGAAGCGACACAACTGATGGAGCCGAGTGTTATGAACGAACGTTTTGCTGTTTCCTCCCAGGCATCCCTGCAGGAGGTAGGTTAGCTTGGAGTTCCTGTAGGGGACGTGGCTCTCCTGAAACACAGAAACCTTAATAACACTCGCTGAGCCACCTCCTTTTGTGCCGGGCTGCAGGTAACGCACCTTGTTAGCCAGAGAGGTGATGACGATCCCCAGGTTGGACAGGGAACTATTTATGGACGTTATCTCCTTAAAGCGCTCCCCCTGAGACTGGCTCTTCGCCATCCGCTCACTACCGGCCAGATCCACCAGGCAAAGCGTGGCTTCACGTGAGAAAGACAAAAGAACAGCTATTATAAATAAAAAGAGACTAGAGAACGTTTTCTAAAGCTCACCGCTGATAAACACACATTTGCACCGGACGTCCCTGCCGGTGTTCGCTCCCTCGATCTGCAGCTGGAACACGGAGTGGGAGCGAGAGGAGCGGTCATTCTGAAGCGTCTGGGCCGTGGAGCGGTTCTGCTTTGCCAGAGCAATCAGGTCGAGGACCTGGGAGGGGACGGGAAGCAACGTTTATTATTAAAACGATTCAAAACATTAAAATGGACCAAAATGAGCTTTAAAGCATGAACTCTGCAGGTCTATGGAAGTGAAATCCTGCAGGAGAGATTTTAATGATGAACTGTGAATAAATACTCTTCAGGTTTACCTGATGACTAGGGCCCGACCGATACAGATACAAAACTTTTAACAAAGGCCGATAGCCGATATAATGGCCGATAAATCTCCCTCACAAAATAAAGGAATAAAAATGTTCTTAAGCTTAAACCCTTCATTCTCTGCCTTTTTGATGCAAACTTATTTCTCTCTTACGCACCAAAGAACTGTCTCCATAACTCACTGGGGTCTCCAAGTAATGTAAATAAGATTTACTGTATTTAGCAGATCTCAAAAACAACAGAACACACAAACTCAGTCACAGCATAAATCTAACATCAGTGTTGCCAACTCCGCGACTTTGTCGCTGTTCCTAAAGACTTTTTGACCCCCCTCAACGACTTTTTTTTCCCAAAAAGCGCCTAGCGACAAACTTAGCAACATTGCTCAGGACCCGTTGCTACTTTCTGTAGAACTTTCTTGTAGATATTCCCTACAGATTAGCAACAAAGAAACCGTTTGCACTCTGAACCGTTGTTCCGGGAGTAAAGAAAGAGAACGATAATCTGCACAAGTGCACGAGGACTGACCAATCATAAACAGTTTTCGCCCGGGCCGATTCGCCGAAGACAAAGGTACAGTTGCAGAGCTGGAGCACGCCGATTTACTTCTGCTACTGCTGTAGGCTCACGCTTCTACTAGAGACGGCGCAGGCGTCAACCTGCGATCTCTGGCTCTGCAGCCGTCAGACACTTTGGTTTTTCCTGCATTTGGCAAATAAAGTCAACGGGAGTTTCAACTACCGTCCCGTTTACACACGCAGCTCTGTGGCTCATCTGAATTTCCTTCAGTGACACAGGGATGGTTATACTATGAGACACCCGCTCCCTTTTGCTCGGTGCACCGTTATTATCACGATGGAGAGAATACACAACAGAGAAGTTGAGAAACTAGGAGGTGTAAAAAAAAAACACCTTTTAGGAAAATGGCTGTGAGAATGAGGAGAGCAGGAGGTCCGAGTTATGCTATGGGGAAAATGAACGCCAACGTGGCGTGATGACATCATCAATATGTAAATTGGCATGTGACGTCATCTGGTGACATCTAGCAACTTTTGGGGGGGATCAGCTACTTTCAGTCAAAAACTGTTGGCAACACTGTCTAACGTTCACGTTTTTTCTTGGATACTGTGGTTTCCACAAATACATTTTAACTTAAAGGAATATTCCACCACTCAGTAAAGTTGTGTCTTGTTAAGATTCCCCAGAGTTAGACAAGTCAGAAGAAGCATTTTATAACCAGCCCAACATGATCTGGCAGCAGTTAGTTTTCTTAGATTAGCATAAAACAATGTAAGTGAATTCACACACACTGTAGTGTTTTTTATGTAGGTGAATGCAAGCCTTCCCTTCCACTGCTTTACCAGGATTCCCTAAGTGTGGTGTGTGCACCCCTGGGGGTGCGAGAGCTGCCGCTAGGGGGTGCGCGAGGTGAAAAGTGTAATGGCTGCGGAGCTCAGAGAAGTCTGTCTTATGTCACCATTAGCGTAGCCAGAAACTCATTTGTGGGTGGGCCTAAGAAAAAGTAAGTAGGCCCAATAAATGTAATTGAAAACAAGTATGTTTTGCTTGTGTGTGTGTGTTTGTGTGTGTGTGTCCTCCGCATGTGCCCTAGCTTCATAATAACAATGCGCTGAGCTTCAGTGCTCTGGCCTGCGCACGCTGTCAACAGCAAGATATGTTCCGTATTTGATCATTTTTAACGGTGTTGGAGGAATCTGAAGGTGGCGAGTCATTCTGGCAGATTGTAATTAACACCTGTCTCAAGCAGGTGTTCTGACGTTGTAAACCTCACACACAGAACATTGTGGATGTAACTAAATAAATCAAGAAACGATTCCCATCTGAGCATTTTAGCATTATTGTATTATTATATTAGCACACTGACTGTGGGACAGCATTCTAAACGTGTCAGGCTATTAACGGCGCGCTGAAGATCTGAAGTTCAGAGTGCGTCTGTCAGAGGCCACAGGTTAAACGTTCCTGCTTTAAGAAAACCGTTAAATTGCATCGTTTATGTGCTACCTGGGCACTCTAAATATTTATTTAAAATTAAATCAAAGGAAATTGTAATGGTATTGAATGTTTATTAATTACTATTTAAAAAATGAAAGTGATGGGGAAAAAGGTCGATCATATTTTTTTGACCGTGTCTGTCAACTGTTTAGCTTGACGTCTGATATGTATTTGTTTATGTTTATTTATGTTTATTATTTGGCAGATGCTTTTATCCAAAGCGACTTACAATTTATAACCTATAGGGCATGTTGTGATCTGTGGGGGAAACCGGAGTACCCGGAGGAAACCCACGCATGCATGGGGAGAACACGCAACTCCACGCAGAAAGGCCGCAGCCGAGTTTCAAACCCGCAACCTTCGTGCTGCGAGGCAACAGTGCTAACAACTGCGCCGCCATGCATGCTATATATATATATATATATATATATATATATATATATATATATATATATATATATATATATATATATATAGCCATGCCCTAATGTGTGGGTGTGTCGACATGGTCGGGACATAGAAGGGGGTGCCCGGCTAAGTAAGTTGGGGAACCGCTGCTTCATGCTAAAACAACTGGTTACAACATGTTTTTTCTGACTTAGCTAACTCTGGGGAATCTAACAACACACAAGTTTAGGGACAGAAGATCCCGATAAGAATATTAAAATAATAAAAATGCAGCAATAAATAAAACGTAACACTTGTGCTTTGTAACAAAGCAACACTCTGTGGAAGTTCACTTGGTGAACTTATTCACCCTGGACAGGAAATAATTGCACATAAGAAACATAAATAAGAATAAATAAAAAAAAGTTCCAAAACAATCATTTGAGTTCAAAGTTCAAAGGAGTGGAGCCACACAACATGAGCTCATAAAGCTGGCGCCATCTGCTGGATAGGTAACGCAATATCGGCCATCTCTTTGGCCGACAGCCGATACTGTTAATGACCCCGATATCGGTCAGGCCCTCCTGATGACCTGTTCTGTAGCTTTAAAGTGACTAGGAGGTCCTCCTGACGAACCTGACCCTCAGAGCAGACCTGCTTGTAGGTCAGGTTTGTAACCGTCACTTCGTTGTTGTTGCTCTTCCTGATCTCGTGCTTTAGTCTCTTGCTGGGCTTGCCCGTGTACAGCAGGTCCCTCAGAGTCTCGTTGTAAATCTCCACAAAGCTAGCCGTGAAGCTGAACTGAAACAGAAAAACCGCGCATATAACAGTCCGACTGTGTTTTCTACTCATGTTTCTGCACACAAGCGTGTTTCTAAACTAACCTCCCAGCCCTGAGACTCCAGCGTCTCGCCCGCTCTAAAGATCTGCTGCACAGCCCTGGGAATGACGCCTCTGCTGTCATCAAACTCCTCCCCCTCCATGGTGAACGTCTCCCCACTTCCCGTCTGCCCGTACGCGAAGCAGCAGACGCCGTACCCGTCCAGCGCCGACTGTACCAGCAGCGAGATCTCTTCAAAGATCTGAAAAAGAAAAGTCCTCGTGATTTCCTCCCACACAGTTTGTAGATCAGTAGGTGTGTGTGCGTGTGTGTGTTTCACCTGCTGTTGTGAAGCGTGCGGACCGGACACCTGGTCAAAGCTAAAACGGTAATTCTTCTGAGAGTCTGCACTTTTCCCCGTGTGAGACTGATGGACAGAAACAAACAGGAGTCACAAACAAGTTTCTCTCCTTGTTTTGAGTTTTTATGCACGTCTGAAACAAATCAGAAACGATCTATATAAACAAACGGCCTGTATTTAATATAGACCCTTCTAGAGCCCTGGAACCCCCCAAGGCACTTTACAACATACAACACTGTGGCCACAGCTGCCCTGGGGCGCACTGACGGAGGTGAGTTTGCTGTACACAAGCACTACCGGACCCTCCGACCATCACCAGCAGGTAAGGGGGGTTAAGTGTCTTGCCCAAGGACATGACAGTGACAGACTGAGCGGGGCTCGAACCTTCAACCGTCCGATTACGGGGCGAGCACTTAACTCGTGTGCCACCGTCGCCCCGTGAACCACACGACCCTCACCTCCTCAGTTTTGGCCAGAGTTATGGACTTGTTGTCACTGGGTGCAAGCTGGATGTGACTGCTCAGGCCTCCATCCACTAGAGGGCGCACCCTACAAAAGACCCTGATGTTGCCCTGCAGGACAAACAGGAACATCAGTTCAGAAAACACACAGGTGTAAACAACCCGACATAATGGGAAAATAATCACAACTACATGAATATAGTTAGAGGCAACAAAAAAGGTTTAAAGGTACCGATCGGATCGTGTTGGGCGGGTGCATCACAAGAACTCCCCTTGAGTTCCTGAATCATGTTATGGAGCCGTCGGCGTTCCATCTCTCCAGCATGAAGCTCATCCTTCTGCTCCACCACGGTTTCCTTCAGGGAGCGAACCTCCTCCTGTGTGTTTGTGACAGGGTTCCCACTCTTTTCTTGAAATTATTTTCCAGGACTTTTCCAGGACAATTTCAAGACTTTTTCAGTGTACAAGTCAAGTTATCATAACTACGGTTTGCCGATATCCCGATATATTTAGAAACAGATATGATATTGTACGTACCTACCTACACCGTTATTTTGACAATATAGTTGTGGAAAGATTTTTGTCTTTCACAATCCCACCTACTTTCCTCTACTTACAATGCAACACAACTAAAACAGAAGTTATTCTCTACTTTAGTTCATACCAGAGGTGTGACACTGTGGCATCATCAAGTCATCTCCATGTTTTTGTTCTGCTCAGCAACTGAACCAGGTTAATTCACTGTGCTGATTGAAATCGTCGTCGTCCTCCTCCGCTTATCCGGGTCTGGGTCGGGGGCAGCAACTAGGGAGCCCCAGACAGTCTTCTCCCCGGCCACCTCCACCAGGACCCCAAGGCGTTCCCGGACCAGATTGGAGATGCAGCCTCTCCAACGTGTCCTGGGTCGACCCGGGGGCCTCCTGCCGGCAGGCCATGCCCGAAACATCTCCCCAGGGAGGCGTCCAGGAGGCATCCTGACCAGATGCCCAAACCACCTCAACTGACTCCTTTTGATCCGGAGGAGCAGCGGTTCTACTCAGAGTCCCTCCCGAATGTCCGAGCTCCTCACCTTATCTCTAAGGCTGAGCCCGGCCACCCTACGGAGGAAACTCATTTCGGCCGCTTGTATCCGCGATCTCGTTCTTTCGGTCATTACCCAAAGCTCAGGACCATAGGTGAGGATTGGGACGTAGATCGACCGGTAAATCGAGAGCCTGGCTTTCTGGCTCAGCTCCCTCTTCACCACGACAGATCGGCTCAGCGTCCGCAGCACTGCAGACGCCGAACCAATCCGCCTGTCGATCTCCCGATCCCTCCTACCCTCACTCGTGAACAAGACCCTGAGATACTTAAACTCATCCACTTGAGGTAGGACCTCTCTCCCGACCCGGAGTTGGCAAGCCACCTTTTTCCGGTCGAGAACCATGGTCTCAGATTTGGAGGCGCTGATCCTCATCCCAGCCGCTTCACACTCGGCCGCGAACCTACCCAGCAAGAGCTGAAGGTCAGAGCTGGATGAAGCTAGGAGGACCACATCATCCGCAAAAAGCAGAGACGAGATTCTCCTGCCATCAAACTCGACACACTCCACACCAACAAGGCCCGCTCGGAGTCGATGTCCCCCACTGCTCTTGGGACGCGGTCAAAGCTCTGCCGGAGGTGGGAGTTGAAGACCGTCTTGACAGGTTCTTCGGCCAGGCGTTCCCAGCAGACCCTTTGTTTATCCACAAGGAGGGAAAATTATTTTCCAGGACAACTCAAAAATTTCCAGGACATTTTGCAATTCCCCCCATTTTCCATGTGTTTTCCATGACTGGAAAATTGGACTATCATTTTCCAGGTTTTCCAGGACGCGTGGGAACCCTGTGTGAGGCTGGTCTGCAGCCGGGTCACGGTCGACTCCTGAACCGACAGCAAAACATTCACCCAGCCGTCTGAGCCACTGCTGCCGACGCCCACAGACCCACTGAAGGTGCTACCACCTCTCTTGTGTTTAAACATTTCAGAGAGATCTGGCCTTCTTTGAATCATTCCACAGATTTGATCATATAAACCATCCAGTTCCAGCTGGAGAGGACGATAATTTACCTTCAGAGTCTGCAGCTCGGCCTCCTGGCTGTCCCTCAGAGTCTCCATGACTTTGTATTTTGCCTCCAGATCAGAAAGTTCCCTCTGAAGGCAGTTCTTCTCAATGGTCATGTGTTTTAGATCCTCACGGACTCCACACAAAGCCTGCAGCTCCACTTCATACCCACTACATGACAACAAAACAAACATTGATTGTATTGAAGTGAAATTATTTAACGATTTAGCTTCAAATTCTAAAGAAAACATCTCTGACCAGATTTTGCTCTTCTGACTCTCCACCTCTCTCCAGGTTAGACAGTCGGTTGTGGCTCTGGGCCACGGAGCCTTTCAGGATCTCATTCTCGTCCACAGACCGGACCTTGGTCTGGCAGTTGCGGATCTTGCCCTCCATGTCGCTGACCTTGCCCTTCAGGTCCCATGCTTGTCTCCTCGGAGCCCCGGTCCCACCTGGACACAAGAAGTCCCGTTTATTTCTAGGTTTTGTCCAACTTTCCTACGTCCTGATTCGTCATTGCACGAAATTATAGCATAAAATTATTTTCCAGCCAAATTATATTTAGCAGCTTCGGCTCGACAGCTCTTAGGTGGTTTTAAAAGAAAGAAAGTTGTATTCCTCACCTGCTTTAGTGGCAGCGGGCGGTTTGGCTGCACCTTTAGGAGCAGTCGAAGCTGTGGGCACCTTCTGGACAGCTGATGAAACAATGTAATCATGTGAATTATTTTCCTAACTAAAAATAAAGTTACTGATGGACTAAAGGCAACCTGTCTCACCTCTGGAAGGACCAGCAGCCACAGTAGCAGCTCCTGCACCTCTCACTGATCCATCTGCATAAAACCATAATCCAACTGAGGTTTTCTAACACCCCGCCAGAGCTAGAATACGCCGACTGAGACAGTAACTTACAAAGAGAAGCTCTTCCTGATGCAACTGGAGGCCGTTTGTCTCCTATAACGGTTACAGATCTCGGACATCTTTGTGGCTCTTGCTCTTTGTGCACCTTCTTCAGCAAAAACATAAACAATAATCACAAAGTTTTAAGAATATTTAATGTCGATTTAAAGAGCACTAATGAAGGGACTTTGGCTAAGTGCTTCCCTAAGTGCTACAAACTAGAGTAGTATAATAACCCACCTCTCGTCCAACATTTTGACAGGTCTATTGTTCTTTGACCTCTTGACCTTTCAGACCTATTGTTCTTTTGACCCCCTGACCTTGCCCCCCCTTCCCTAGCATCAAAGGTGTATTGTTCAATGACCCCCTGACCTTGGCCCCCCGCGCCTTAGCATCAATGGTGTATTGTTCAATCACCAGATGGCCTTGGCCCCCCCGCCTTAGCCTAATGTGTGTAATGGCGCATGAAGTTTCTTTTTGTGTTAGCCCCGTAGTTCCCACATCCCCTCCCTCCCTTAAGCCGAGTGTAATCCTTTTGTGTTAGCTCCCTCCCTTCGATACACCGATCTCCTCTTTAAAAGCTCAGATCGTGTCCGAATGGTGAAAAGCCAAACTTCTAAGAAAATGATGAAGCAAGAGGAGATGCATGAAGCACCAAGCCGGGACGAAGAAGTGTCTACATCCGACGCTTCAACTTCAACCCAAAAGGTGAAAGAAGAGAGTGTGGATACGCCGCTGTCAAAAATCTTGCTTTGTGAAAAATCCATCGCGATCCATCAGCTGCCTGCAGGGATTGGTGCTCCCCGCAAATCTACATTCTACATCTGCAGAGTCCAGGTTCCTCCTTTCGGCGGTAAAGAGATCTTGGAGCAAATATGGCAGTTGGAACCTTACGGCTATACCGGTAGTTTTGGGTACCGGTTCAGCTATGACACCAAGGAACTGTGTCTAATCCAAGATGTGGCTGAGGGCGAACCTCTTAAGTCCTATTTATCACACTCGCCAGCGGTTCTCTCCTTGTTATGACCTCTGTGTTCCTGGGCTCCATTTTAACCACCGCACCAAGGACAGCTCCTTGCTCCGGCCCCGCTGAGACAGGATCATGGTGACAGGATCAGCACCATGGAGAGAGGCACGCCGAGACGCACCCTTCCTGCCGGCCCGCTGCCACCAGCTGGAAACAATCCGCGCTCATCAGGGCTTCTTATAAAGGAAGACGAGGCGGAAAGAGAGGAGGGCGGCGAAAAAGGACGGGGGCGCACGGCTAAAGAGGAAAAAGGGGAGAGCGGCTAAAGAAGAGAGAGCGCGGGGAGAAAAGAGGAAAGAGAAGAGAGCGGCTAAAGAGAAGAGGGGGCGGTTGAGAAGGTGAATGGAGTTGAGGAGTTTCCAGAGAGTTCGAAGAGAGTTCGAAGAGAGGTGACCGACAGCGCGCTTGTGTGGAAAAGGACGGAGATCGAGCCGACCGAGAAAGACGGAAAGGAAGAAGAGCCGGCAGAGACACAACCGAGATCGAGCACACGAGAGGAGCAGCAGACGAACGAGAGCGCCGAGCCGAATAAAGAAGCGGTGCTCCGGAAGAGGGTCACATCTGGAAATTGTGGAGACGAGGTACATACACCGTCCGTGGATTACGCCCACCTAGAACAGACAGACAACACAGGGATCTATTCTGGAGGAGAACCATCCGCTTCCAGAGACAGAGAGAGAGAGAACGGGAGAGCGACACGCCGGCCACGTCAGGAGCAGCACAGGACCAGAAGGAGAACTCATACCCAAAAGGAGGGTATTATTCGAGCGTGGGGCTTTGCCCTTATTTTCTGTTATATTTTAAGAGACTAGTTTAACCAGACCTCTGGCTTTATTATTTCCAAGGACCAGTTTTTCACTTGCCAGAGACATTTTCAGTTTAATAAACTCCTTTTGACTTTTAGTTGTCCTCGTGTTTGCTCCCACCACACTTGTGTTGCCCCTCCTGGTAATCCTAGGCCTGGAGGGGTGTAACACTCCTACAACGACTGGGCAGTACTCAGGCTCGCTGTTCCACGCAAGGTGTACAGAGATGATCGTGAGAGACCTCGTCCGCCTGTAAATCGCAACGGGCCGCAAGCTCTTCCAATGCTGGATGAAATCCAGAACGCTGTGACAGCATTCAGCGCTTCATGGGAGGGGGAAGAGGATGTGGATGGGGAGTGGATGTTCAAGGCCTCGGTCCATGAGAGAGGATTTGAGCTCTTTTTTATGCTGGAAAATATGCATTCTGTATTTGGAATTTACCACCTTCTACAGGTTGTACCTTTCGATGCCTGGTGTGAAAAAATAAATGGAGGATCGTATTACTTCACTTTTTCGTACCAGCCGCTGCTGGAACGACATTCTGACAGTGCGAAAAAAGCTGGAGTTCTAAGACCTGCCTCAGGAGGAGGAGGAGGAGTCGCATCATCAAACCACGCCCCCACCCAGCACTAGTTATAAAGAGCTTACAGTTAGAAACCATGTATACCCATATATACAAGATTTGCTCCTGCTTTGCATTTTTGCCCGTGAGGATATACAGCTGCTGTTGCTTCAATTATGGCTTCCGTGGGGAATAGTTAATAACCTGCTGACTTGTGTTCTTTCTGAGGAGTGTGCGAGACTGTTCTTCAGCGTGGGGTTCGTACCTCACCACAGTTGGCTGTTCCGGTGGGATCACATCCTGTTCGGTTGTCAAGATTCTTCATAACTTGGGTTTGTTCAACGACCAAGTGGTCTCTTGCAGGACCACATTGACCTTGAAAAGGGGGGTGTGTAGCGTTATGAAGCTTATAATGGTCTGCCCTTAACAGCTGCCCCTTCACACAGTAATATCGCCAAGGTCGGACACTTGGTTCAGTAGGTTTACATTCCAGGAGAAGAGACGGAAGAAGAGAAGAAGAACGCTTTCCATTAATTAATCAAAGTACCTTATTTGTGATAAGCTAATCAAAGCATTTGTTGATCATTAATAATCAGGTGAATGATCTGTGAAATAAAGATGTCATGAGTTATGTGTTTAATGAATAAACAGGACTGCACCAGACAGACTGATCCACATTACCATGGAAACGCATGACACATTGTTTTCAACCAATCAGAACTTTCGTCTGTCGTAGGGCAGAATCTGGGTTGTTTAATGAAAGTCGTCCAATCCGGTTAACTGAGATTTGTAAACAGTTAGGGGATATAAAATAAGGCAACGCCATTTTATGCTCAGTTCCATGTTAACCTCAGCTCCAGGACATCCGAGGTCCTAAGGATTTCCATCGTCACCATTAAGAAGTTACAGGCTGGCCAGCTGTACTTCCTACTTTGAGCTGAACTGTCGAGCTGGAGATTTCCGTCGTTTGAACCAACTAGACGACGTTCCTTCAAAATAAGAGTGAACTTGTTGACGCCTGCCGATGCTACCTGAGTCGACCCTTCAGACGAGCGTTGTGTGCTGCGACCGCTGTTTCAACCAGCTTCAGTACCTCTGAAGGTCCGAGGACCTGGCAATTCCTGATCTAACACGGGAGGCTCCCCCTGGGTACGTAAATACGGCAAAATGGCGGCTCATGTCATCAGCTTCTGAAGCCTCGTGGTAGCCTAGTCATAACAACCAGATTCGCTACGTCAGCCTAGAGATTCTGAACAACACACACACACACACACACCAACACGAAACATCCAAATCCATATGCATTCATCATTGAGTTAGTCCTGGTAGATTGTAAGAATTTATAATAATAGAAATTAAAGATTCTTAAACGATCCCAACTCTCTCTTTTCTTGTCTCTCAGTCAATACAGAGTGTTTAAGTAAATTCCCTGATGATAAAAACAACCACTTCTGATTAATTACTTAGATCTAATTACAGTGTATAAATATACAACTTCAGATCATTACACTATGTATTTCATTTTTTCTTTACATATCAATTATTCCAAATAACTAACACACCAAGGCAAAAAAATTAATGCAAGTTTAGACTAAATTTCCCCTCTTCCTCTATACAAAAACCAAATAACAAAAGCAACTGTACACAATACAAGTTGTAAAATAATATCCTCAATTACAAATCTGTCTTACCCATTTGGTGATAGAAGGCCCTGGAAAAGGTGGTTTTGGGGTTGAACACATGGCGCAGTTGTTTTCTGCCTCGAATACTATTACAAATACAGTAAAATTTGTGATTACAATGAATATATTTAACTACAAGTAATCTCTTTGTGCTATAACACTTCACAAACCTGAGGCTCCCAGTATTTGTGAAGCAATGGCTTCACGCTGTTGCACCATTGCTTTCGGTGTTGTTTTAAATGTCATGCCTGGTTTTTTTTGGAAAGGGCTCCATAAACGCCTTAGCCATCTATGGAAATAGCAAAATACTCAAAAAATAATTTAGTCAAATTGGTTTTCTATAGCAGACTCAATTTTATAATGCAACATCAACACAAAAATGTTTTGAAACTCATGTCTGTTACTTTACCAAGATGACAATCACACCGCAGCAATTTGTGTCCTTCTGTACTGGGTGTTTCACAACTTCTCCTTGTAACTTTATATCCACCCAGTCAGTCTTGTTGATAGCAGTACGCCTCATCTTGAAGAACTCCCTGTGCAAGGGTTATACTGTCATGTCAGGGCCACGTGCAGGCAGGTAAAGTACCCAAAATGCAGAGTCGCGGAAACAAATGTGAACTTAACTACAGCAATAATGCTGGACGGCAAACAGACAACTGTTCTGAACTAGAACACAAAATGAACCAGTTTTGCACGGTGGCTGGCAGGCACAACACACAGCATAGTAGAGAGTAGATCGTGAGATGTATAGATGAAAACACAGGGCTGAAAAACACAGAGGGAGCCAGCAGGGAATGGGAAACAGGATGGAACTACAGCTGTGGCAACTCAGGCCTAACGAGACAAAGGAAGCAAAAACAGACACTTTAACATGAGACATAGACTTTCTAATTAAATCATGAAAAAAAAACACAGACGCAGACTTGACACGTCGATACAGCAGAAAGGGTAGACAGCAACTATGGAACACAGAAAAGAAACAAAAGGTACAACTATGACAAAGAAACCAAAAGACTACATATGGTAAACAAAAGCAAAAATCAAAGTACAACAGTAATGAGAAATTAACACTATGGCTCAACGACCCACGGACCCTAACAAATACATGTCATTACCTTATTTTGAATAGCACTGGCTTTGAGTACTGTATGAAATTGTCTATAGTAATCACAATTCATTATTCCTCTAATTTTCCACAGTCTCAAAGCCAATAGGGTTGCACCACCAAAAAACACACAGAATAAAGAAAGTATAACTCAACAGAAAAAACATGGACAGTCATTTATTATTACAGAAAAAATTACCAACACATTACAAAAATAAACTTGCAGGATCAAAAATGTTAACGCAAGTTCTTAATGCCAATGACTGACCCATCTACCATAGCGACACATTAACACTGAGATTTAACACAATATTAAGTAAAAAATAATCAAGTAAACGACGACTTGTGCTTTTTCATTGCTAAAATCGAGGGGGTGTGGCAAGATGGCGCCAGCGTGTTCGGCAAGCCGTCTGCTGTTCTCTATTTTTTTAATTTTTTCGCTGTTCTTGTGTTTTGTGGTTAATGTTGGGACTGCTATCCTGACTTATGACCGTGCCAACCTCCTGGATTTTCGTTCGCCTTGGCTCCCTGGCCAGGATTACCACCACTACCATCGCGAGACCCTGCAAATGCTGCGCTCTACTATTCCAGCCTCTCTGTGGAGAATCCCCGGTCCGTTGTGGTTCAGGAAGCGGCGCCGTCGGCGTGGTAAGCGTGGTGGCTGTCTGGTCCGTGTGCGAGCTGAGCTGGCACGCACCTCGGGATTCATGCAGTCTCGAATGGGTGTGCCGGCTCGATGCCGCTCTGTGAGGTGTTACCTGGAGTCTGTGGACCGGCGGCTCTTCTCCGCTCCCGGCTCTGCCTCTGGCCTCTGCGCTGCGTCCTCGTCTCACCCTGCTCCGTCTCCCTGCTGGTGCCACCGTGGTGTGGATTTCTCAAACATTCGGGTTCTGAAGCACATCTCTTCTAATACACCCAGGTTGGATCCAGTACCGCCGTACAGGTTTGCCCTGATGAATACTCGCTCTCTTGGCAATAAATCATTCATTATTAAGGATTATTTTATTGACAATAATCTGGATTTCCTTCTCATAACGGAATCTTGGATTGCTCCTGATGATTTAGCCAGTATTACTGAAACTTTACCTTCTGACTGTGCATATTTTAATAATCCAAGAACAACTGGTCGTGGTGGTGGTCTTTTGACCATCTTCAAACGGACTATTGCTTGTAAACCCATCACCTTCCCTGATTTTACCAGCTTTGAGTTAACTGCCTTTGAACTGTGTTCTTCACCTCCCGTTCTCTGTGCCTTGCTGTACCGTCCTCCAAAATACAGCAGAGACTTTATAACCCAGTTTTCTGATATTTTATCTGATATCTGTTCACACTATGAATGTGTTCTTATCTTAGGTGATTTTAATATTCATGTTTGCTGCCCTGAGAAGCCTCTTGTGGGAGAATTTTTAAATGTTATTGACTCTTTTGGCCTGGCCCAGTTGGTTAATATGCCAACACATGAACGCTCTCACATCTTGGACTTGGTTCTCACTCATGGCTTGAAGATCACTGACATGTTTGTTGATGCTGTCCATATTTCAGATCATTTCCCGGTTTTGTTTCGCCTTCATAGATCCAATGCCTCTTTAAGTAATTTAATGCCTGCTCGCAGAGCCCGATCTTTTACACCATCTACTGCAACAGAATTCTGTACTTTATTCACTGATCTTGTTTCCACTTTGCCGGTGTTTTCTAGCACTGATGATTTGTTGCACTTTTTTCAATCTTCCTGCCTTACTGTGCTAGATCAGATAGCCCCTATGAGAACTAGACGCTCTAAAGTTCGGTCGGATCCCTGGATCAGTGCAACTACCAGATCTGTCAGGCGTGAGTGCAGAAGAGCCGAGCGTAGATGGAAAAAGGATAAGTTTCAGATTTCATACCAAATAATGATAGATACCTGGGCTCGTTACCAGAAAGTAGTTAAAGATGCCTGTAATAAATTCTTTTCAAATATTATTACTGCATCCTTTGGCAACCAGCGTGTCCTGTATCAGACCCTCAATGCTGTTCTTTCAGCCAGTGACCACCACTCTCTTACTACCTCGGATGCTCAATGCACTCAATTTCTGAAATTTTTTCTTGGAAAAATTGCTAGTATCCGGGCTCAGATTAGTTCTCCCTATGTCACTAGTCGTCCTGAACCCATTCGGCTTCGGTCTCTGGATAACTTTGACTTGCTTTCTTTGTCCTCTCTTGAGAACCTCCTGTCTGCCTTGAAGCCGTCAGGTTCTCCGGTTGACCCTGTTCCTCCACACCTCCTTAAAGAGACATATTCTGTCACTGGCCCCCTTATGCTGAGCATTATTAACAACAGCCTATCCACTGGTGTTGTACCCCGTGCTTTTAAACATGCAGTAGTTCAACCCGTTCTGAAGAAGCCTGGCCTTGACACCTCTGTTATGAGTAATTTTCGCCCGATCTCCAAGCTTCCATTTTTATCAAAACTGTTAAGAGCGTGCTGTTTTTAACCAAATTATGTCTCATCTAGATGATCATGGTTTAATGGATCCCTTCCAGTCAGGCTTCCGATCCCTCCATAGCACCGAGTCAGCTCATCTTCGTGTTTTTAATGACATTTTATTAACCCTTGACTCTGGTTCTAATGTATTGCTGGTTTTATTGGATCTGTCGGCCGCTTTCGATACGGTTGATCATGCTATTCTGCTGACTCGGCTGAACCAGCTGGTCGGCATCCAGGGGACTGCCTTAGACTGGTTTAGGTCCTACTTCTGTGACCGCACCTTTAATGTTATGATGGGTAGTGCTGCCTCCCCCTCTGCGGCTTTGACTTGTGGTGTTCCTCAGGGCTCTATTCTTGGACCCCTTTTATTTAATTTATATATTTTGCCCCTGGGTGACATTTTTAAAAAACACCACATTGATTACCATTTTTATGCAGACGATTGCCAATTATATGCCTCTGTGAAGCCTAATGACTCCTTACTGCCCCTTGTTGAATGCTGTAATGATGTGAAGAGCTGGCTGTCAGAAAACTTTCTTTTGCTGAACGACGCTAAGACAGAGGCCATCATTTTCAGCCCTGGTACTTCTCAAAGTCCCCAACTGACCCTTCCATTTATCACAAGTGGGTTGAAAAACCGTGTCACAAACTTAGGGGTTGTGATGGACGCTAAACTAAAAATGGACATTCATGTCAACCAGGTAGTTAAGACCTGTTATTACCACCTGAGGCGTCTCTCTAAAGTTAAGCCCATTTTAAAAAGGCATCATCTTCATTCAGTTGTCCATGCATTTATTACTTCCCGTCTCGACTACTCTAACTCAGTGCTATACGGTATCTCCTCCTCCACTCTCGCTCGACTTCAGCTAGTGCAGAACGCAGCAGCTCGCTTCTTGACTGGCACCAGGCAGCGGGAACACATCACACCGGTTTTAGCAAATCTTCATTGGCTCCCCATCCATCTCCGGATAGAGTTTAAGATCCTGGTTTTTGTGTTTAAATCCCTAAATAACTTAGCACCTGGCTACTTGTCTGAGCTCATTCACCCATATGTCCCTACAAGATCCCTCCGATCAGCTGACCAACACCTCCTACATGTACCTAGCTCTCGCTGTAAGTCCCGCGGGGAGCGCGCCTTTTCAGTTTGTGCACCGAAGCTCTGGAACCACTTGCCCCTCCCGATCAGACTCTCTTCCTCTCTTTCCCTTTTTAAGTCTCGTTTAAAAACTCACTTTTATTCTCTGGCTTTTAATTCTGTCTAACTTATTCCCTTTCTACCTTTCCTTTTAGGGTTGGATTACTTGATTTTAATGGATTTAGTTTTTATTTTTGATTGTTTTTATTGTGTGTTTTGTTCAGCACTTTGGTCGGCTCTCATGCCGTGTTTAAATGTGCTATATAAATAAAATTGGTATGGTATGGTAAAATGTAATTACTGAGGCACATCTTCAGAACCGTCCCAACCCACTCATAAGGCCTGGATTACAAATTTTGAAAACTGCAGCACTATAAAAGAACATGATCATTTAATCAATTAAATTTTTGAAAAAGAGAATCTACCTGAATTTTTGTGCTGCCACTTTGGATTCTTCAAGCTCTCTTGTGTTGCGTGCTGGATCAACAAGGTAAAGAAAGCTGTCTGCTTTACTTAGGTACTATAACAGAAAAAATAATATAATTAATTCTGTAGCCAGTAATTGCAGATATGTATATGTATTTTATCACACTTGAGAGATTTGACTATAACTTGTTTGATCAGTTATTAAAGCTGATTTCTATAATTAGTCCATGAAAAGCTGTTATACATAATATTATTGCATCAATACCTATTATAATATTTCAAGTTAATTTACTGATTCTATTTGCTATCATCTTTGTCCACACACCATTTACTACAGTCGAATACATTAAATGTCAGGTTTTAAGGTAAACTGATAGGAAACATTTAGTATTCCAGTATACAGGTATTTGACATGCAGGACTTGATAGTGGGACATCACACACACATCAATCAGGGCTAGTTGTCTCAGAAAGTAAAAAAAAGTTTCCAGGGATGACATTTTATGGCACTTACAGAGCCTAATTTTAAAAACAAAAATCTTATTGAAATTTGTTCAGAATATGAATTTTCTGAAAGGAAATTTCTGTTAGTACTAACCAGGAACTTCCAGTGAACATTTCCAACGTTCACAAACCAAACAATTGCCTGGTAGTTATCAAAGTTGACCTGTTAACAAAACATTAGTACAAATGTAAAATAAAAATATATTTATATTGCAATATGTATATGAATTTGTATTTTTTAACTTTGACAAACAGTGCCTCCTCATCATTTCTCTTTTCCCAAACAGGATGACACCAGCAGTGTAGTGGTTCAGTATGTATACCTTACTGGCCAAATCCAACTTGCAGGCAATAACAAGCAGAGCACACTCTATAATCTGGTAAAAATGAAATTGAATAAAGAAGAGATGTCAACTTAAACTGCTATTTATCTCTAGGCAAAAGCTTTATATAAACCAAAGACCACACTGTGGGTGACTCCTGTCAGTAACGAACAAGGAAATTTTAGTGACATTTTGTGCTCATAAATGTTCAACATATTAATAAAAACAGATTTAAAAAAACAATATAGTTCAATAACTTCCACAGTTACCAGATCACAGAACATTTTTAAATCCTTGAGTCGTGTTTACATGGTAAATTGGGCTAACAAAATGTGACACAAGACTAAAAGTTTGTCGTTGACAATTTCGCTTTATTTCCTCTTAGATATATATTTTATATTTTTTAACGTATATTTATTTTTTTGTTAAATTAAAGGAATGCTGTTTATTACAAATTAAAGTTAGTGATTTGGAGTTGTACAAAACATTTTAAGTATAAAACATTCGAAGATTCAAGTGCATTAGCACAGTAACAAATCCATTTAAGATTAAAGCACGTATAAACAATAGCTTTGTCTATAAAAACATTGCGTCTGTCTAACGTGGATGAAAAAATTTGTTTTTGATATGGGAACAGCATTAAGATCAGTGATGTTTTTGCTCTACTCACCACTCCTTCTCCGCATCAGTTCTTATGTTACCCCTTTCCACAACACTTAAAACACAGGGTTTGTAACACTGTCTTTTCCACGTACCTCGCCTGTTAACCATTGATGAGGTTCCAGTGGTTTCAGCTCGCTGTGGTGAACTATAAAGTTGTTCCCTTTTATTTGTGATGGAATCACAGCAACAACAACTTCGGTTTCCTTTCTTTTCCACAGTGCAGTGACCTACGGGTAAAATTAAGAGTGTATTTGTATTTGTGGCACAACAGTAAGAAACTATTTACACATTGTCAAAGAAGTACACAAATCAGGAAGGTTGTTTATTCAAAGATGTTCAACATGATACTAAAAATGCTTTCATTTTGTTTGGTGATATGGAAACACATATAAATGAACTCCAAAAGCTGATTTTCTTCATCTGCACGTAGCGTTTGCAGAGGGACAAACATTTCTTCAGTCATCCAAGTGATTTATTCACTCTCACCTGTCCAAGTTTCACGCATCATACAAAATGTAAATTTGTATACTGAATCATGGGCATTTATTAGTGATCTGTGATGAGTCATTGTTGATCAATGGTCATACCAATCTGCACAATTATGATGAAGCAACTCACATCACAACCCATCATTACTTCAGTTTGCTTGTTTCAGTCATTATGAAAATGAATTCTTTCTAACTTTGGTGAAAACTGCAGTCAGCTCAGACTGAAGAAGTTACTTGGATAAGTGAGGAAACATTTCTCCCACTGAAAAAGCGACGTCCAGGTGAATAGATTGAACCTTTAGAGATTGACATAAAAAGGATGATTGACAATTCATCCAGACATATAAATGACTATGTGTTATACCAACATAGAGACCTAATACATTTATTGGACAAGTTAAGGATTTTTTTTTAATTATGTTTTCAAGATTGTTATCTTCAAATTTAATTTGTGAATACTAATAACTCTATTTGACATCAGGGTAAGCTACCTCAATCAATAATTAATTAGTTTGGAAAAGCTATTAAAAGGATAAATAGTTAAAAGGGAAAATAAACCCTTTTCAGCATAACGGAATACCTAAGCCTTCGTTTTGCAAAAAAAGTTCTAACATAAAAATTCACGTTCTTCTCATGTAACCACCCGCATGTTTCCGAAGTGTGTCTGAATGACATAGCAGCGACTCATGATGTTATGACTGTTTGTTGAGATTTCATCGACGTTAAAGACAGTAGAATAGACACTGATTCACCTGTAATTTATCCAATGTGTTGCCCTTTTCCTCCTCCTGGACTTTTCTGGAGTTGTTTTGCAAATCCCATCCTTCGATGTCTTCTGTGCTCTAATATAAATTAAAACACATTACCATTTAAATATTGTTTAATATGTGTGGTGTGCTAGTGTATTATAATTCACTGTTTAATGTGTAATTTTTGCCTGTCTGTCTGTCTGTCTATCTAGATAGATAGATAGAAAGATTGATAGATGATAGATAGATGATAGATAGATGATAGATAGATGATAGATAGATGATAGATAGATAAGTACACATATGTGTGTGTGTATACTGTATATATGTATGTATATCTCACAATAAATAAAAATCTAACCTGTGTAGTGACAGCTTCAGTCTGCTCTGTGGGCACATCTAAGTCTGGTGGTTCTTCTTGATAATCCTTAGAGAAATATTGAAATTACTACTTTCCATAGAAGAACACAGAATACTTACATAACACACATGAAAATGTATGTCTTTATCAGAACTTAAATTGTTCTCTATCTATAATACACACATAGGTTTAGACAACATGCAGTCTTCATTATGTGTTTAAATGTTACTGCATTTACAGAACAAAATGTTAATTGATATAAATGGTCTTCTACAACAGCAATAACTAACAATAATGCTAATTACTTCAATAACAACAAGTATTTTATGGGTAGCTGTTGCTATGTGTGGAGAGTTCCAGTATCATGATTTTTAATAACCAATTTTTTGCTAAAAGCTGTGAAAGACTAATGAGGTTTTTAATTATGAAATGTAGTATGGCACAACAGATGGTTATTTAATGTATTCAATACAGTTTTAACACATTGACGAGTTACAATTACTGTACAGTTATGCATGGTTAACATCGTTATTTACTTTCAGAAACATGCATATAATGATTTAAATCATAGGAATATAAAGAGAGTTACAGTAAGATTACATTATTTATTGCATGCTTAATAGAAGCAAAAAAAAAACAAGTATACATTATAATTGGAATACAACACACAACATTTCAAATAGAACAAATTTTGGTGACATGCATAGATGAAAGAAAAAATGATGATACCTTACCTGTTTGACTTGTTTTCCCATCTGAGGAGTTACATAGAAGCCTTTTTGCTTTCTACTTATTTTCTTCCATTTCTCGGTCTCCACTCGGTAAGACTGAAAAGTATCATTTAAAAATAATTAACAAGAATTTTTTGATCTGAACTTTATGTACAAAATATTCCAAACAAGCAAACCGTCAAGGACATTTACTGTAATCCCAAATTTATTCGAATGCAAACTGCTTAACGCTTCATGTCTTTTGTTTAATTCCAGTTGTCAGTCTAATAATCTCCTACATTTATCATATCAGAAAACTCATTATAACCACATGTAATGCAGTTGTAAAATTGTTTTCTAAGAACACAAAGTCGCAACGACAGTAACAAAGACATTTTAGACCAAAGCATGCACTTAAAACAGACAATTCATAATGTTAATGCAAATATACATTACAGATATGATAAATGCAACAACAGCACTGCAAATGACTTTTGTTGTGTAAAAACTGCACCAAATCTGTCCAGAAATTTTAATTATTTTCTTCAAACCTCACCTTCCTTTTCTTGACCACATCTCCATATTCTCTGAGAAGACCATCATGTTTCCTTTGATATATGAGCACAAAGTCATCTAATCTAGTGAGACGCTTTCCATCAAAACGAATCCTTTTCAGGTCCCATTGACTTTTTTCCATGATCCCTTGTGTACAGTTGTCTTCAGTGTAGTTCTGAAAATGGTAATTACATCATTTAGTCTTTTGACAAATTCTGCATAATGTGTCTTTTACTGTATTAATTTATTGTACCTGCTTGTTCAACTGCGACACATGATTGTACCGTTTACTGAGAAAGCCATACGCTGATCCTTTGCCATGCCGTCCAAGGTCTCCTAAATAAAAACAGTACTTTCAATCAATAAAGCACATAAATAATAACATAAAAGTGCTGATTGAACAAAACTAGACATACCAAGCAGCATTCCTGACCACAAGGTAGCATGTGGAAGAAAGTATTTAGAAAGACTTGAAATGAATGCTGGTGCATGGTACACATTCGGTGGTCCAGTCACATCAAGGTGGGCACTGGCAATTACTTCTGCAAAGTGCTGTTTAACTGATGAGTGAACTATTGCCGTCTGAAAAAAAAAATTAAGTATCATATAATTAAAAAAAAATTCTTTTAATGAAGATCTTATTTTGTTTAAAAAACACATACATGTGCTACAAAACAATGTTATTGGTGTCACACTATAACAGGAACACAATTAACATCTCAACCATTGAAACCCAAACTTATTTTTAAAATTACCTTATAATCCTCTGGAATGATGTCTTTTTCTTCATCATCCCCATTTCCCGTCTGATTGATCAGCAGTTTGAGGTTCTGCAGGTGTTTTTGCACTTCTGGTCCACTGCATGGACTTTTGAAAACTACTGTTGCACTTAGAATAATGCCATCGAAATCTTTCAGGTTGGAAGAACAGGCCAGTAATCCAAAAATGTGCATGCCAAATTTGTAGTGTTTCTCTAGTCTATAGTCAAAAAAAGCATATTAACAATAAGCATGAAAACTAAACACAAACAAATTCAAATAATTAGCAGAAAAAAACATTAACAAAATATAATTATAATAGACATGAATTAACAAGTCAACAATATCTACAAGGGCAAGAACACTAACACCAAAGAAATACTTAACAGAAAAATAACATTCGTACTCAAGGACTTTAAGCACAAATACCTCTTTTTGCAAAGATCCTTTGCGTTCTTCATGATGTGACTCAAACACCGGTGGAGAATGGGTATGTTGAAGTTATCCGTGTCCAACTGTCCTGTGATAACCTGGAAGTATCTCTCCAAGAGGTCTTCCAAACTTGCTCTGCAGAATGTTATCGCAATGGACTGGAGAAGCACCAGTGAGCCATCACATATGATCATTACTGGCCTTTTGTTTGCCCTGCTTCCATACATTCGTGTAAGCTCTGTTTGAAATGCTTGTACAAAATAGGTTACAGAAGCCGTGGTATGGTCACATGTTACAAAAGTTGCTGTTGGAAGAGGTGATGATCCCTTGAAGGGATTTCGAACTATAATTTCATACACATAGTACGGAGTAGCAGAAGCATTATCTTTTGAGATAATGCTTCCTGTTGCATCAAAATATACTATGTCATCTTTGCACCATTGGTAAAACACTATAAGTGTTTTTTGGGACCAGAGCATTATACCTTTTGGATGCAGGAGCACTCTCTGAAGGACTTCGTTTGGAAGTCCTTGCTGTCTGTCAATTAAAATTTGCAGACTGGCCATCTCATTTAAATGAGGTCTATCTTTTTTTCTGTGGGACCAGGCAATATTTTTCAAGACCTCTTTAGATGGAGCCTCATCCCGACACCCTGCTTGGAAAGCTTTTTCTGGTATTTTATTTAGAGAATCCAGATAAAGACTTCTTGGCATTTTGGTTTCCAGTTGTTCTGCTATTTCGTCTCTGGAGTGTCCACGCACAGGTCTCGTTTTTATTTCCTTTGTGTTGTGGCACACCTCACCTCCTTGGAAAAGCACATCAGCCTTCAGGGTTTTTTCATCTTTAACCTCCACTGTCACAGTCACTGGACAATCCTTAAAACGGCAGTATGCCTTACATGAGAACACAGCCGTCTTAGACCGTGCCTGACTGGTGTTGATGGTAAATCCAAAACTGTAAAAGGGGTGTACTGACTTAATGCCAGTGGCTACAACATTAGTCCACTGCAATCCTTTGAAAAGCCTCCCTTTCTGCGTTTTTTTTTAGGTCTTGCCAGTCTTTCTGGTCAATGAAAAAAAAAAAACATGGCTGCTGTGGCAATGAGCATTTGTAGAATTCCTCTTCAGCATTACTGTCACTGTTGTTGGGTGAATCTGTACTCCAGTCCTAGAACGCATTAATTTTTAAAAATAAAAAATATGTGATGTAATTTCATTTAAAATAATGTTATGTGGAAAATAATTTACCTTTTCGAGGGATGTAGACGATTGTGGTGGAGACACACCAGTTTGTGGCTGTTTCAATTCAGGAGAAATGTTTTGGACAATGCCATTGTCATCACCGTCCTCTGAAACATCCTTTGAATGTCATTTTATTTGTCAAACAAAGAAATTATTTTTAAATGGAGACACTGTTTTAATCAAGTGCAATCACTTAAAAGTTATGTAATAAGTAATTCCAACCTGTTTGAGCAAAAAGAGAGATTCATTTCCTTCCGTTTCAGGTGGATACATCTCGAGTGTTTCGCCGCCAGTGTTTCCTTCATCCTGAGTGTGAAATAATTACTAGCTCATGAGTATAGTAATGTAAAAAAAAATACACGTTTTAGTTTTAAAGGTTGACATTGTGTAAGTAAATTACTTGTATTATGTCAACAAAACACTCACAAATATGATGAAAGGACTGATTCATATATATTGCTAGCGCTCTGGACTACATGCCACATTCACAACACGTCATACATGCACTTAGAAAATCAAGTGCAAACTAATAAACATTTACACACATTCACAGTCAGATGAGCGCATCAGAGGGCAACTTGGGGTTAGTATCTTGACAAAGGATATTTGGCATGCACTGAGCCAGGAATCAACGAGTATATCAGCTCAACAACCTGACCCGCAGCCACACAGTAGAAAATGTAATTTACATTTGTTTGGCACAATGTTGACGCACAAGGTACATGTGCGTTAATACATGGCCTATCATTCCATCTCTATGCTGACGATTGCCAGATTTACCCTCCATTGTGTCAGGAGAAAGGTCACTCTATCCAGTCCTTTGTGTCCTGTGTTAACGAGGTGAAGTCTTGGCTAATGGCCAACGTTCTACATCTGAATGTGGGAAAGACAGAGCTCATTGTTTGTCACCCCAACAGCAGGAATGTAGATCGTCATGTTGATCTTGGGCCTCTTTCGCCATACTCAAAACCAGTTGTGACCAGTTTGGGGTGAAACTTGATGCTGGACTTAAATTTGATGCTCACATCAACTATGTGATCCGGTCCAGTTTCTTTCACCTGAGACGCCTTGCAAAAATCAAGCCCATGCTGTCGAGAGCCCACCTGGAGCGGGTACTCCATGCTTTTGTAATTTCTAGCCTTGATTACTGCAGCTCTCTCTATGCAGGGTTGTGTCAGTCATCACTGCGTCGCCTACAGGTGGTGCAGAACAGCACAGCCAGGTTGCTGACTGGGACCAGGAAACGGGACCACATCATTTGCGTTTGCCCTTCAAGAAACAACGGTTCCTGTGTTTTGTGCCTCCATCCATTAAAGCAATATGTCTCATGTTAGGTGTTATTATTAACCTGTACACTATGGAGTTACCACTACACTACAATTCATATAAAACCGTAAATTCATGTGGAAATGATTGTTTAACTATGTAATCTAAACATTAATACAATTTTAAAAATGTAAGTTTTGAATTCATAACAATACACGTGACATAAAATCAATCATGTAATTTTACCACAGAAGATTTGTTCTCTTCGGAGGTCCCACTATCACCTTCAACATCAAGATTTTTTGTTTTGTGTATGACTTCCATGTTTCCCTGTTTAATACACATGTAGAAATTACATTGTCATCGACCTGTAATGATAAACAGTATCCTTCCACCTAGTTACACTTAGGTGTGCCTGTGCAATGCGCAATCTATATTATTCATCCACTGTTCTTCAGGTCTAAACAAACGTCTGTTGCTCAAAGAATTTTTGCTCTGGAATTTCTTTCAGAGCTTATAAAATTTTTGCCACTATCCTTGATAAATACTAAGTCCAGAGTAGTATTCAGACTATAAACATAGATATCATAGAGTGCTTACCTTTTGGTAGTGCAGAGCAACAAGATTAAGTTTTTTACGATTTGCATAATTATTTGGCACTCCCAAGTCTCTGCACACATTACTCTAGAATGCGTCTCCTCGGTGAACACCGTGTCTGTTTCTGTTGTGTGGTTCGGTGAAAGTCTCAGTGCATTTTATTATATGTTCATGTTTCAGACGAATTTTCCGTGCCTGTAAATGTAAGTAAAATAATTACATAAAATAGAGAGATCTAGAACTACAAAGTAATTTACACTATATAATTTAATTACAATCACATTTTATTGAAAATATCTTTTTCAAAATATTGTTTAAGGATAAAACTTGCCTTTCCAAAGGCAGTAAATGTTGAGGTTCTGTAACACAAATAAGAAATTAAAAAACAAATGCTTCAATGTATTTGACAAACAATAAAATTTTAAGTTTTTTTTCATAAACTTGTTATGTTTATATATTTCTTGTATTACTCGAAATGATATATTTAAAACCACTGGGGTGAGTGAAATGGTCTTGGATGGTAACAGACTAATCATATTTTTTTTAACGCACCATTCTAGTCAGAGATAAGGACAAAGCAACAGTCTGATCATTTGTGTTTCGGGTGCAAGGAAATAAACCTACATAGGAAAAATTATTAAATCATCTCTTAAAATCAAATTTCTTTCTAACAAATTATTTTCTAAAGTGTTTGTTTTTCTCGGCTACCTAGAAAATTACATGGTTATAACAAATCTATTACGTTATGCATGGACATCACTAGGATTGAGATATAGGGGGGGCTTAGCCCCAGAAGCTTGACCTTGAACATTTTTTTCACACCCTGCAAAAACTTTGTCAATTAATTCATTATCTGAAGAACATTTAACAAATTCTATTTTTTTATCACTTTCTTTTCCTTTCCTACCTTTGTGCATTTTCTCTCTTTTTATAAAAAAAACACTTAATCAGTTTGTTAGTGGGGTCTATGTTGAAGAAAGATTTTATATAAGTCCATTAAAAATTTGATATGTTATATTTCCAAATAAAGCTATTCATTTCAGTCTACTGCACTTAACAGGTCATTTATTTAATTTGTTTAATTACAACTTGCTTTATTATAAATGTTACTGAAATATGACAAAGAACAAATGAATAATTGTCAAACTTTTATTCTGCCGAATGAGTGTGCAGTTGACAGTTTTAATATATGAATAACACTGATATGATATGGAATAAAGGAGTATGTAATTAACAATTACAAGACAAAATAACAGTATATATAAAAATTAGGGCTGGGACTTGATTAAAATTTTTAATCTAATTAATTAGAGGCTTTGTAATTAATTAATCTCAATTAACTGCATTTTAATCGTTCAGGAAAATGTGCTCTCAAAGCAAAACTTAATTAAAATTATGAGACAGAGAATTAAACATTAGACATAGTTATTACTGTAAAACTAAAGCTTTTAATAAAAAAAATGCATTTTAATTAATCAAATGTCACTGTGTGATATGAAACAAGACCCAAATCAACTAAAATTTATAATTACAAATAGAAAACACCTGCAAAGGGTTCCTGAGCCTTTAAATAGTATCTCTGTCTAGTTGAATTACTGAAATAAATTTGACTTTGCACCAGATTCTAATTTTTCCAGTTTTACTTGTTTGTATAATTGGGAGTTTTTATTAGCATTTCTACTCATAATGTAGTAAAAACACATAAATAATAATCCTTCAAAATGACAGTAGAACAGGCACAAATATGATCTAGGACAGGGGTGTCAAACTCATTTTAGCTCAGGGGCCACATTGAGGAAAATCTAGTCCCAAGTTGGCTGGGCCGGTAAATTAAAAATACTGTTATTTTGTCTTGTAAAGTTTTCATGCAGCACTTAAAGTATATTTGACTCATTTTACTTTACATCTTTTAGCTTTCATCAGCACATCAATATCAGAAGTCACATCCTGAGTGGCGGCCAACTTCAGGATGTGATTCAAGTTCTTGTGTGAGCCTTGAGCGCAGCTTTGTTTTATTTATACTCATTACAGAGAAAACTTGCTCACAAAGATACGCTTCACTCTACATTGTAAAGTAGGAAAATAAAGTTTACACAACCATCTCGCGGGCCGGGGCCACAAGTTTGACACCCCTGACTAGGACTTAAATGTGCTAACTTTTAACACCAGAGCAGGTATGACTTATTCTGAGAATGATCAGGAACACTAACTGGTTCCAGTTGGATGACTGGAGGATGATAGGAAGATAAAAGATCATGGCGAGGAAATAATGATCTGACGAACAGGTGAGCGGACCTTCCTTACATGGGAAGTCCTGATGTCACGTTAATACGGGGATGCTGCAGACCCGCAGATTCACACCTGCAGCAGCGTATCTGGTGTGATCTCCAGCCTGATCACAACTTTCTCGCTGCCCCTGATACACGTAAGCATCCGCCCCTTAGCTGATGACAGCTTCAACACACCTGCTGCTTAATGATAGTAATGCATGCGATGATGTTTAGACAAAGACTCGTCTCAGAAACGTATAACTCCCCGACAGAATTGTTTAGAAAATCATCAGAAAAGTTTTAGAGTGTTTCTGTTTTAACTTAAACTTCTGTTTTCAACTTTAACTTTCACGTTGCCTGTGATTGTTTACAGAGTAGTGAGAACACGGAGCGTTCTCCCAGCGGCAGCCAGGTGCCTCTCGTTTGTTTAACTACTTTCATAAACTACTGTTAGGGCACAGAATTATTCTGTCTGGTGCTTTCAGCGCTGCACAGATGCTACGTAAATGTTAAAAATATAGCTTACCGCAACTTTTGTAAAGTTTCCAGTGCCACCGGGCAGCCGAAGCAGAGACGATCTCTGAAAAATGTCCGCGACGCGGACTCCGTTGTTGCCTGGAAGTTTTTTTTTTCAAGTTAAGAAAAGAGGCGGACGTGTTTCCTAAATCCTGCATCAGTCCAAGCAAGGCAACTACTCCGTTTCAGTAGCCATTAGCACTGTGCATTGTTGTGTGCGTCAGTGATATTCTGTCTACGAGGAAGTCGTGCAATGACAAAGGTTCCGCCGTGCTCGAAATGCAAGCTGCGATTACATGCGTGAAATTTTTTTAGCGTGTCGTTTTTTTTCTAATTAATCAAAATAACGTGTTAAGGTCCCAGCCCTAAAAAACTCAAAGATAGGGGGGCTTGTGATTATTTTAGGGGGGCTGAAGCCCCCCTAAAACGGACCTAACGTTCTGTGTCCCTAATTAAATACATGGTACTCCAAAACACATTGAAACACGATTTTACTGTAAAAAAAGTAATAGGAAGCAAATAACAAATGAAGCAAAAACCCATACGGAAAACGTCCAAAAAAAATTTAGTCAATAAGGCAAAGGAAATGATTTGCAGCTAAAGCTAATTTCATGCTTACCTTCTCTGTCTTACCTTCTCTGTCGTTTTGTGTCGCTCATGGTTGTCTGTTGCCGAACAACAGGAACTTATAACTTTTCAAAGTTAACAAACTAACTTTTTTCACAGTGTCCAGAAAAAATGTAATTCCGTAGTTCCTACAATTGTCTAACCATGTGCACGCATCACACCACCACCGCAAGTACTTGACTCATTGGGAATGGGCCTGCTGTGGCCAGTCTACTACGATCACCTTCACCCTTAAACGGTTGGCGAATTGTCCATTCTCAACCCCCCCCCCTGAAATGTGCAAAAGTTGACAGCCCTGGAATAAAGTGCTGTTTTTGGTGACGAATACCTCCTCTCCTTCATCCATCTGCCAACTCCTACACTAACAATATTTAAGGAGAAGCTGGCTCTGACCATAAACTATCACCTAGTTAGCAAAAGCTGCTAGCTGCACTTACCGTTAGCTGGTCCTTTAGCTGGTAATAGCTAGCTCAGAACGCTCCTTTCTTCCTTTAACTGGGTCTGAATTCATTTGGTCCATCCGTCAAATATCTTCACTTCCATATTTTCTTCCAGTCTCATTGAGGAAAACTGGAGAAATTCAAATTCCGTAATGTTGTTAACCATTTTATCATTTTAGGGTCTGCGGCAAACGCCACACAGCTCGAGGCACGGAACTGTACGTTTTCTCCTAAAGTATACCTTTTTGTTTAAGTATACTTGTAGTTGTATACATAACTTGTTCAACCTATTACAAGATGTGGAATGTTTATACCCTTTCTATATTCTACAACACAATGTATGTTTGTTATTCAAATGTCTAAATAAAAATAAAAATAAAAAAACTGTACGTTAACGGTGATTGGCTTAGCCCCAGAGCGGCAAAACGAGGGGGCGTGGTTAAAACCTGTCAATCACTCAGCTCACTAAGATGAGTTGAAATATCCCTTGTTAAAAAATAAGTGGTTCTGTTGTGACTGTTTGGCACCACCTTTATTATAGATCCTATGAAATATGAATCAATGTTTGATTTATCTTAAGTATGTTAGCATTTTTGAACATGCAGGTGAAAGATGGAGGCTACCCAAACTACAGCAACACCTGGATAAAAAATCTCAGGTGAATTTTTAGTGTTCATTGACGAAAATGTTCGTCATGTTGACGATTCGCATTGATGTTTAAAATGTTCTCACTTACATACTTATATGTGCGTGTAATAAAATATTTTAAAGCAGTTAAAAAGATTGAAAAATACTTTTAAGCAAATCTTCACCAGTTTGATCTGCGATTAGAATCAAAAAGTGATTTAAAAGAAATTCAATAAAATTCTATTTTATCATTAAAAGAAAAGTTTAGGATGTTTTCCATTTGTTTTAGAGGAATTTTTTACCTTAAGGATTTTATGATTTATTGTTTTTATGTTGCTCGGATTTAATACAATCTGTAAAGACTGGACAACAATATGTTTCAGTCGCTCTTTTTAATATCAACATTCTGAACTTGAAATGAGTACCGAACAATTGCTGAGGACCTTCTGGATGAACTCTGACGAGGTGAATCATTGTTTAGCTTTAAGTCTGACGGTTGTGAACGCAACTTTACAATAATAAGTTTATCCTGACCGATGTCGATGATCCCGACTCAGGTAGACGTACACAGTTTAAAGTAAAACAAAAACTGTGAAGATTGTTTTATTCAGAAAAAGTAAAGAAAACTACATTCAGCTGAACCAGAAGAAAGTAAAGAAATCAGCTTCAGTTCAAAACAAACTGCTGATGAAAAAAATAAAAAAAAATCAGAAAAATAAAAACCTCAGAGGGACTTTTGTTGTTTTTAACTTGTTTCTGCTTCACAAAAATAAAGATTTCAGCCTGATTAACATCAGTTTAACTCTGAACTCCTCCGATAACTCGCGGTTGGAAAATGCTTCAACCTAAAGACAGATAATGTACAAAACTCTCCCGCAATTCCAAGCTCATTTCCCCGTGTGCAAGTAGAAACCACGAGCTTGTTAAACGTTTGTTTTCCTGTCGTTGAAACCCAGTTAAAGAAAATGTACGTAAACATGACGCATGAACTTGGTGGTCTGACTGTAAGACACTTTCATCATTTCCAGTCCTCCTGGTTTAGAGATGAAGTCTGATCCGTTCATCTCATTCATCCTGCTGCAGCCGGACGGCGCGCGTTCGTACGATCATCGCCTCGATCGTAGCGTCGTCCAGCGGCATCGCGGAGAACCACAGGGGGCTGCTGGGAACACAGCAAGGATCTGGCTGAAGGTAGAAGAGGTCGCCGTGGCGCCTGATCGACTCCGAGCTGCAGAAAAATCACAGAAAAACAAAAACCTGAAATCTTAAACTGCTTTGATTAGATTCAGTGTTTCTACAGTCACATGACTCCGCCCCCCGCGCCAGACAGTCTCATAATGAGGTTACATGTTAGAGAACGTTCTCACCACTTGGAGAGGTAGAACTCATACAGTCTGACCGGACATCGCAGAAGGTTCTCCGTGTTCTCCTTCATCCTCAGGGAGTTCGCATTTAATCTGCGTTTCTTCGCCGGGGCGCCGTCAGCATCTGGAGGGAAGAAAATAAGTTACAGATCCCGTTGAGACGAATACTGACTTCGTGTTTTGTTGACAGTCAGCCTCTTTGGTACCTGACTGGTTCTGGTCTGCAGGTGTGGGCGGGTAGAAGCACAGGTACGTGATCTTGGTGCCGTTCTGTTTTAAGTTGGTGTAGCGCACGACGTTTGCAAAGGACAGCTGGCGGTGCTGCTCCACCGTGGCGAAGCCGAAGTATTTACAGCCGAAGAAGAGAAGAGTGTTGAGCAGGACGATGGGGGAGTAGGCTCCCAGCTGTTTACAGTCCCACAGGAAGTTCTCCTCCACTCGGGAATGGACGGCACCTACAGCAGGACAAACGGACGTTACGCAGCAGATAAACAGCTGATCAATAAAAACGGGTCAAACAGGAGTTTAGGTCAAAGAAAAACTCACGTGGAGCAGACACAGGAGGTCTGAAATGTTTCAGGATCTTCGTTAACTCAGAGGAGAACTTCTGGTAGGTGAGGTCACTGAAGATGTTCTCCAGCCGATTGTTTTCAAACAGAAACTACAAAATAAGGATTAATCATTAAAATGAGTCACAGAAATAAAATAAAAAGTTAAAATAAAAAACAAATCTTGACACCAACTAACCCGTTTTACTCTAAATATGAAAATGTTCAACTAGATGTTTCATCATCAGGTTAAAGAATTAAAACCTAAAGTTGACCATTGTCGAATAAATGGGCCCAGAACTCCTGGTCCAGCCCAGAACTCCTGGTCCATCCCCAGAACTCCTGATCCATCCCCAGAACTCCTGATCCATCCCCAGAACTCCTGGTCCAGCCCCAAAACTCCTGGTCCAGCCCCAAAACTCCTGGTCCAGCCCCAAAACTCCTGGACCATCCCCAGAACTCGTGGTCCATCCCCAGAACTCGTGGTCCATCCCCAGAACTCGTGGTCCATCCCCAGAACTCGTGGTCCATCCCCAGAACTCGTGGTCCATCCCCAGAACTCGTGGTCCATCCCCAGAACTCGTGGTCCATCCCCAGAACTCCTGATCCATCCCCAGAACTCCTGATCCATCCCCAGAACTCCTGATCCATCCCCAGAACTCCTGATCCATCCCCAGAACTCCTGGACTCATCCCAGAACTCCTGGACTCATCCCAGAACTCCTGATCCAGCCCCAGAACTCCTGATCCAGCCCCAAAACTCCTGGTCCATCCCAGAACTCCTGGTCCATCCCAGAACTCCTGGTCCATCCCCAGAACTCCTGGTCCATCCCCAGAACTCCTGGTCCATCCCCAAAACTCCTGGTCCATCCCCAGAACTCCTGGTCCATCCCCAGAACTCCTGGACCATCCCAGAACTCCTGGACCATCCCAGAACTCCTGGACCATCCCAGAACTCCTGGACCATCCCAGAACTCCTGGACCATCCCCAGAACTCCTGGACCATCCCCAGAACTCCTGGACCATCCCCAGAACTCCTGGTCCAGCCCCAGAACTCCTGGTCCAGCCCCAGAACTCCTGGTCCAGCCCCAGAACTCGTGATCCAGCCCAGAACTCCTGGACCATCCCAGAACTCGTGGTCCATCCCCAGAACTCGTGGTCCATCCCCAGAACTCCTGATCCAGCCCCAGAACTCCTGATCCAGCCCCAGAACTCCTGGACCATCCCCAGAACTCCTGGACCATCCCCAGAACTCCTGGACCATCCCCAGAACTCCTGGACCATTCCCAGAACTCGTGGTCCATCCCCAGAACTCCTGATCTAGCCCACAACTCCTGGTCCATCCCCAGAACTCGTGGTCCATCCCAGAACTCTTGGACCATCCCCAGAACTCGTGGTCCATCCCCAGAACTTGTGGTCCATCCCCAGAACTCCTGATCTAGCCCAGAACTCCTGGTCCATCCCCAGAACTCCTGGTCCAGCCCCAAAACTCCTGGTCCATCCCAGAACTCCTGGTCCATCCCAGAACTCCTGGACCATCCCAGAACTCCTGGACCATCCCCAGAACTCGTGGTCCATCCCCAGAACTCGTGGTCCATCCCCAGAACTCGTGGTCCATCCCCAGAACTCGTGGTCCATCCCCAAAACTCGTGGTCCATCCCCAAAACTCGTGGTCCATCCCCAGAACTCGTGGTCCATCCCCAGAACTCGTGGTCCATCCCCAGAACTCGTGGTCCATCCCCAGAACTCGTGGTCCATCCCCAGAACTCCTGATCCATCCCCAGAACTCCTGATCCATCCCCAGAACTCCTGATCCATCCCCAGAACTCCTGGTCCATCCCCAGAACTCCTGGTCCATCCCCAGAACTCCTGGACTCATCCCAGAACTCCTGGACTCATCCCAGAACTCCTGGTCCAGCCCCAGAACTCCTGGTCCATCCCAGAACTCCTGGTCCATCCCAGAACTCCTGGACCATCCCCAGAACTCCTGGTCCATCCCCAGAACTCCTGGTCCATCCCCAGAACTCCTGGTCCATCCCCAAAACTCCTGGTCCATCCCCAGAACTCCTGGACCATCCCAGAACTCCTGGACCATCCCAGAACTCCTGGACCATCCCAGAACTCCTGGACCATCCCAGAACTCCTGGACCATCCCCAGAACTCCTGGACCATCCCCAGAACTCCTGGTCCAGCCCCAGAACTCGTGATCAAGCCCAGAACTCCTGGACCATCCCAGAACTCGTGGTCCATCCCCAGAACTCGTGGTCCATCCCCAGAACTCGTGGTCCATCCCCAGAACTCCTGATCCAGCCCCAGAACTCCTGATCCAGCCCCAGAACTCCTGGACCATCCCCAGAACTCCTGGACCATCCCCAGAACTCCTGGACCATCCCCAGAACTCCTGGACCATTCCCAGAACTCGTGGTCCATCCCCAGAACTCCTGATCTAGCCCACAACTCCTGGTCCATCCCCAGAACTCCTGGTCCATCCCCAGAACTCGTGGTCCATCCCAGAACTCTTGGACCATCCCCAGAACTCGTGGTCCATCCCCAGAACTTGTGGTCCATCCCCAGAACTCCTGATCTAGCCCAGAACTCCTGGTCCATCCCCAGAACTCCTGGTCCATCCCCAGAACTCCTGATCCATCCCAGAACTCCTGATCCATCCCAGAACTCGTGGACCATCCCCAGAACTCCTGATCCATCCCTCACTCCTCTGTTCATTGAGCTCCACTGGCTACCGCTAGCAGCACGCATCAAATTCAAATAGCTAACACTAGCATACAAAGTCCGAGATGGTACGGCTCCCATCTACCTGAATCCTCTTGCAAAGGCTTACGTCTCGGCCCGGCCGCTCCGGTCATCACAGGATGGTCGGCTAGCAGTGCCTACACCACGCTCAGGACAATCCAGACTCTTCTCATGCATCGTTCCACAAATGTGGAATGACCTTCCTAACACTACCAGAACAGGGGCTTCCTTTTCAATTTTCAAGAAACTCCTGAAGACCCTGCTCTTCAGAGAGCATCTTCTAACCTAGCACCCTCCCTGCACCCGTCCCCCCCTCTACTGTCCACTCCTTGTTCCCTCCTCTACATGATTCATCATGCTTCCTCACTGCCACCTACGACCAAGCTGGACATCTTCTAAGTGACCGACTGGAAATTGGTTGTTGTTGTTATTGTTGTTAGCCTCAAGGGTAACATGTCGATTGTCACTTGTAAGTGGCTTTGGACAAAAGCGTCTGCTAAATACATAAACATAAACATCATCTCCTTATATTCTCATTCCCAGCAGACCGGCGTGGATCTGTCTGTTTTCCTAAATCCCGACCCGTGTTGCCGTTTCTCTAACATTTTGGGACCAATCCCGATTCCTGCTTCAGGTGAGCTCAATAATCTTACCTGCTGGATGCTGAGGCACAGGTAGAAGATGCTGTCAGGAGAATGTGGATGTCCTCGGAGACGTGTGACCTCTTTGATGAAGAGGCAGAGTCCGTTGTTCAGTTCTGATGAAGAATACTGGAGAACATCTGTCTTTAGTCTCACAGCTGGAGCTAACGGAGAGAGGAGGAGACATTTGGGTCATGCGCTTCAGGACAGCGGGACTCAGGTGTTGTTTTACAGGAAGGAAACATACAGGAAACAGGAAGTCCCAGGCTGATCTGGGATTCTCTCCACTGGACCCATCTCCTCCAGGAGTCAACTCCACTCTGACTGTTCAGTCCTGTGCGCTTCTCAGGAAAACCAGCAGGAGAACCCGTGTGGAACGCCTCCTCTGCATCTCCTTCAGACAAACGCTGAAGCTTTTCTCTGTTTGTCCTGTTGCTCCTTTTGTGGCATCTCAGAGTTTGGTGTGATGGAGGAGGAGAAGCTGAAGGAGACGCTGGAGGGGGGGCGGAAGGAGAAGGAGCAGCAAAAGGAGAAGCAGAAGAAAGTGTAGCAGAAGCAGGAAGAGGAGCAGCAGGAGGAGGAGCAGAAGCAGGAGTAGCAGCAGATTCTAAAGGAGGAGCAGCAGAAGCAGCAGCAGGAGGTGTAGCAGCAGAATCAAAAGGAGGTGCAACAGGAGCGGCAGAATCAGAAGGAGAAGCAGCAGCAGGAGGAGCAGCAGAATCAAAAGGAGCAACAAGAGCGGCAGAATCAGGAGGAGGAGCAGTAGGAGAAGGAGATGCAGCAGGAGGAGCAGCAGATACAGGAGGTGTAGCAGCAGAATCAAAAGGAGGTGCAACAGAAGCAGCAGAATCAGAAGGAGGAGAAGCAGCAGCAGAAGGAGAAGCAGCAGCAGGAGGAGGAGCAGCAGAATCAAAAGGAGCAACAGGAGTGGCAGAATCAGAAGGAGGAGCAGTAGGAGAAGGAGATGGAGAAACAGCAGGAGGAGCAGCAGACACAGAAGGAGGTGTAGCAGCAGGAGCGGCACAATCAGGAGGAGCAGCTCCAGGATCGTTCAGAACTGTAGGATTTGGAATTTTGTAATGCTTTGTCTGGAAGAACAGGAGGAGGAGAGGATCAGGGATGGAATCCGGCTCCGGCTCGTCTTTGGAGCTGAAAGTTTCTGATGGAGGAAAAAAAGTTGCAGAAGAAACGTTTGTAAATATTAATAAATCCCTGAAAACTCAAAGTAAACAAATATTTGTTACCTCTGGAGGAGGAAGTCTGCGGATTCTCCTCCTCCATCACCTCTTCGTTCTCCTCCCTGGTGTCCGCCTCGCACTCGTCCTCTGGTTCTGTTCCCTCTTCAGGACTAAGGTTAAAATCTTCCTCTACAGATCCGATCGGAGCCTCCTCCACCGTGGGTTCTGATCCGATCGGAGCCTCCTCCACCGTGGGTTCTGATCCGATTTGTTTTCCTGGGACACACAAGGGTACCGGCAGCTGGTGGAACACAATTCCAAAGACAAACTCGGTTTAGTTTTGTTTCTGTCGGCTTTAAGCTGTGTGGGACGTTTGGGACGTGTTTCCTGTACCGGGACGGGCAGAACCGCGGGTGTCGGAGTGTACTGGCTGTACATGTTCAGGGCCAGAGGAACGTAGATGGGAACAGGAACCGGCACGGGGAGAGGAATGACCTTCTGGATGACTTTTGGCCTGATACCGACTAAAACCAGAGAAAAAGACGAGTGAAAATCTCAACAGCAGCTAGTTTCTGATTGATGGTTTTGTGGATTCGGTCGATTCCTGACCGGTCTGTGATCCGGTTTCTACGGTCTGAACGCAGCAGCAGACTCCCTTGTTGTGGACGAGAGGAACGCAGACGGTGGACTTGTTCTTCAGCTCAGTGGGAGTCGTCTGAACGCCGGCCTGCAGGAACAAAACCTCCATGTTTATTCAGCCTGTTTTTACTCCGGGAGCAGAAACAACGGAGTGTGTGACTCACGTGTCCAACCACTCTAGTCTGAATGTCAGTGAGGAGTCCTGCAGCGACTCCAGAGTCAGGAACTAAACCAGAAAACACCAGAAATCACTTCTCCTGGCTTTTTCAGGTCCTCTCCAAGAGTTATGAAAACATAAATGTTTTATTCAGCGTCCTGTCCGTCTCTCCAGGAAGTCAAGGTGATTCAGGTTAACCAATACTCAAATTGTACTTGAACCTGTAACCGTTTTTGAACGTACCCAGCGGTGGAGATCCCGATGAGGCGTTCAGGTGCCTCTTCAGGATGTTGGACAGCGACATGACGTTTGTGATTACGGGTGACGACTCGACTGCACCATCAGGAGAAGGAGACCCTGAAAGGAAAAGCCCAGAGAGGTGTCAGCTGGTTTCCTCCCAGAAGCTTCTTCATCTGGTTTCAGTCATGTTGGCGCGTTTCTGACAGTTTAGGTCCTTCAGGATTGATGAGCTAACAGCTAGTCTTAGTCTGTTGGGTTAAAACACCTTCAACTGAGTTTCCCTGTGACATCATAAACCTTCACATCAGTTTCAGCAGCAATAGTAAGAATTTCCTTTTTTTTTTTTTTTTTTACTTTTGCACAGAAACAAATTTCTAAATGGCGGAAGTGTTCCTGTAATTCACCAAGAGAAATCAGAAACGGAAAACTAAAATTCTGATTCTAAATCCGCTCAAATTGTCAGAGTGGCTAAAATCTTTATCCTTGATCTGAGTAGATTAGAGCCACTCCCCCACCTCTGGGACCCTCCTCCTTGAGGCTTGAACTCCTCCCCCTGGCTAGGCCCCTCCTCCTGGAGGCTTGAACTCCTCCCCCTGGCTAGGCCCCTCCTCCTGGAGGCTTGAACTCCTCCCCCTGGCTAGGCCCCTCCTCCTGGAGGCTTGAACTCCTCCCCCTGGCTAGGCCCCTCCTCCTGGAGGCTTGAACTCCTCCCCCTGGCTAGGCCCCTCCTCCTGGAGGCTTGACCTCCTCCCCCTGGCTAGGCCCCTCCTCCTTGAGGCTTGACCTCCTCCCCCTGGCTAGGCCCCTCCTCCTTGAGGCTTGAACTCCTCCCCCTGGCTAGGCCCCTCCTCCTGGAGGCTTGAACTCCTCCCCCTGGCTAGGCCCCTCCTCCTGGAGGCTTGAACTCCTCCCCCTGGCTAGGCCCCTCCTCCTGGAGGCTTGACCTCCTCCCCCTGGCTAGGCCCCTCCTCCTTGAGGCTTAAACTCCTCCCACAGGCTAGGCCCCTCCTCCTTGAGGCTTTAGCCCCATTCCCACCTGTACCGGGTCGGCCCGGGCCGGGTAGCCCCAGTCGGCCCCAGCCTGGCCCGGTTTATTCCACACATCCTTGTCTTAAGCCCATGTGGGCTGATTCTACCCACCAATCAGAGGCTTGCTCTAATGGAAGGTGTGAATTTGCTGTCAGCAGTGGGTGTGTTGGCCCTGGTCGGCCTGAAGCAGTACCCCTCGGGAAGAGGGCCGAGAATGAGCCTTGGTTGGCCCGGGAAAATTCCAGGCCACCCAGATATGTAAACAACCTACGCTACCCGGCCCGGGCCGACCCGGTACAGGTGGGAATGGGGCTTTTAACTCCTCACCCAGGCTGGGCCCCTCTTCCTGCAGCGCTGAACCCCTCCCCCTGGAGGGTTGAACTCCTCCCCCTGGCTAGGCCCCTCCCCCTGGAGGGTTGAACTCCTCCCCCCGTCTGAAAGACTGAAGCATTTGGAAGAAACTAATTTTGGCTGCTAGCTTTTAGGATTTCGTTTTGATATTTTTAAGGCTAATTTAGTCAAATAAAACTTTTTTTCAGATTCATGAATTATTCTGGAGATTATTGTGTAAAAAGCACAAATATCAGCTTATCAGACTGATGCGTTCAATAAAACATTAAATCATCACCACCTGAGCTGACCGTCCCGCCCTCTTGTCTGCAGAAGTGAAGGAGACACCTCAGGTCACAGAAACGTCGGACGTGTCCCAGCAGAGGAAGACTCTGAGTCAGCTTTCCTCTGCGGTGGCAGGTGTCACATTTCACCAGCTGGGAGGAAGAAGAGTTCAGTTACTCATCATCATCATCATCAAACACAAACGACTTAAAAACCTCCATCTTTGATTGTGAAAATCGTTGAAATCTTTAGTTTCCTACTAAAGATCTTATTTATCAGCCTTTAAGGCTCAGATCTCCGTAACTCTACTCCTCTGATCATCAATATCAACAATCAGAATGTTTTCTGTTCCTATTTCCTCCCTCCTGGTCTTTATTTCCTGCTGTGACAGGAAGTAGCCTTTGGGATTTTACTCACATGGTTTAGCAGAAGCTTGTTTTTGGATCTGCAGCCTTCAGAGCAGAACTTCTGACCTTCTGATGTCACCACAGTCTTCGAGACCGACCGACAGAAGCAACACGATGAACAGAATTTTTTGCACTTCTTCTCCAAACCATGGAGGAACAACGTGAAGCAGCCTGAGGAGACAAACGAGAGGGAAATAAGGACGACAGAAACTCGGCGCTACGACACGTCCGCGCGTCCTCGTACCGTCGCTGCAGAAGTTGTGGTTTTTACTGTCGACCTTCTTGACCTCCTTGATGATCCTTTTACTCTTGCAGTGCTCGCATACACCTGTGATGTCGTTGATCCTTTTGAACTCCTGAGAGCAGGAAGAGCTGCAAACAAAAATCAGCTGATTCTGTAAATGACAAAAAGAGAAGGAAGTTTAATAAAACAATGAAACCAGGTTGGTCTGAGCCGCGATCTCCAGAACTCGCCTTGTTCTGGATCACGGTGGGGGCCGTCTGCATGATCTGTTGACACTGAGCACACGGGAGTCCTTCTGGAGGCTTATCGCCGTCATCCTGGGTTTCTGCATCTTTAGCGTTTCTGAATCGGTCCTTCTGGGTTTCCTGCAGCAGAAAAAACAGACGTTTAGCTGACAGGCTCTCCCCGTAGCGTGTTGAAACTGGAGACTTTACTACCCTAAACACCATGGCACAGGTCAGAGAGCAGAAGTTCCTGATGGAGGCATCCCACATGGCGAGATGGCAAACGGGGACGGTCGTCTTACTGCAGTTGTCACAGCTCAGTGGGGCGCCTGAGGAAGAGTTGGTGGAAGACGTGGACCGTTTAAGTCCATCGAATCTGTGCTTTCCTTGTTTTTATAGAAAAACACGAATAATGAGCAGAATTCAGCTGTTTGGACCCAGGAGCTTTTCCGTACCTGACGCACAGACGGCCTGAATCTTGGACGCCGTCACGCAGCTTTTGGAGCAGAAAAGCTCGACAACGTCACCATTTCTGCTTTCGACCGTTTCCGACAGGAGTTTAGCTTTTCGGCACATCGAGCACGGCTGCTGGGTTTGGATTTTCTGTCACACAAACAAAACCAACACAAGGTCCAGGTTAGGGAAGCTTCAGTCCCAGACTCAGAGAACGGAGGCAAACCGGACCTGCTTGAAGCGAGTCAGGCACTCGGCGCCGCACAGCGACTTGGTCCCGTCCTCCAGCTTGAGTCGGAGCGGTTTGTTGCAGCGGGAGCCGCAGTTCTCACACATGAACAAGCTGTTGATGTTACAGAAACGATGGAAACACGGGTCGCTGCAGATCTTATGGACCACATCCTGCAGAATGACCTCATGTTTGCTCTGCAGGAGGATAAAACCACACAGTCAGGTACCGACCCACCTGCACCACACCTGGAGGACCGCCTGAGTTTCTTACAACGCTGTATCTGCTGCACACGCTGCACTGAGAGTGTGACGCCACGGCAACGACGGGCAGTTTGTTTGACATGATTCTCTTGTAGTTGAAGGAGGACAGGCAGATCTGGCTGCAGAAGTCCTTCTTTGTCCCGGTGTCGTCTACCGAGCCCTGGAGGACGCTCTGAGGCTCCATTATCACCCTGGAGGAGAGAGGGCATTTTACACACAGCCTGTGACTGTTTCTGTCCACATGAAGACATCATGGACTCACTGCAGACAGAAGTGACACGTCTTCTTCGCCGATTTCATCTGGTAGTACTTGAGCAGGCAGGAAGTGGAGCAGAAGAGGTCCTTGTGGGCTTTCCTCTGGTAAACCGTCTCTCCGTCCATCAGAACCCTCTGGCAGGTGGAGCAGGACGCATTTAAGTCCATCTGAGTGAGAAAGGACGGGGCTGGTTTCTGGTCCTCCAGCAGTGAGAAAACTGAGCTGATCTTCAGGTCCTCCTTTTAACACAAGAGAAGAAACTGGATGCTTAGAGGAGACCTCTCACAGCAAAGTCACCTGCTGCAAAATCCCCTACAAATGTTTCTCCTGCATGAAAGATTCAGTTATTCATATTTAAGATGCAACAGCAGCAGGAACCCAAATGTTAAGTAAACAAATGTTTCAGGAAGAGAGTAGAGTTTTCCTGACACGCCTGCCCCGTTTTTGTCTCCTGACACACAAACACAACCAGGGAGAATCGGAAGCTTTTCACCTGGCAGCTTTGTCTTCTATAAACCTGAGAAGTTTTCTTTATTTAATAATATTTTACGTTGCTGCAGCAGCGTGCCTGACACAAACACGTTCCAGAAACAGGTTAGTCGTAGGGTTCCCTACCTTTGGAACATCTGGCTCCTGCTTGACTTCCTGTGAGGACACGGAGTCGCAGCGATCCTGACTGAACTCCTCGTCAGCGGGCTCCTCTTTTATCTTGGAGAGGGACACCAGAAATGGATCAGACGAGAAACTCGGCGAGTTCAGGAGAAACGCTTCGTGTAGAGGATTTTGTTTCTGATTCAACAGGAAGTAATAATAAATCTGCCGTTTTCTACGCATCAGGAGAGATTTTACGAAACTCACACGTAGTAAACTTTGCATCAACGGCTTCACGTCTTTGACATCGACCTCCTCAGATGAAGGAGTCTGTGAACTCTTCTTTTGGTCTAAAGATATGATAAAATAGGTCAAATGTTCATGAAGATAGAGCAAATCTTCCTTTAGCTGCTGAAACAGTAATCACAAACATCATCAGTTGGTCTGTTATTGATCCATTAGCACTGAATACAAGCAGAAACTGAAGGTGAAATTACCTGACGGAGGGCAGAACTGGACTTTATGAACCTTCATGCATCTGTAGCTGCAGAAGAAATCCAACTCGCCTTCATCGTTTTCCTTCTCCACCATGTCTGACAGCTGATGGGACGTGCAGCACGTTGGACACGGCTGACTTGTCTCTGCTTTCTGCAAAACAAAAAACCCTAAATGTTAGGAGGTCGTGTCCGTGATTCAGTTTTAGACGTGAGGTTTTTCTTTTGTGTCGTTTTGCTTCTGCACCTCCTTCAACTTGACCAGACACTCGTGTCCACAGACTGTTTTACTGTCGTCCTTCATCTTCACCACGAGCCGTTTGCTGGAGCAGAGGGAGCTGCAGATTTCACAGATGAACCAGGACGACTTGTCCTCTTTGTTGAAGTTTGTGAAGCAGGGGTTGCTGCAAAGTCTGTGGACTTCACCACCCACGGTCACGGAGAACGCGGACTGAAGAAGAAGAAGAAGGAGGTTTTCTGTATTATGTTATCTGCTTCATGACATTATCGGTACCGTGATCTTATTAGGATCGTGATATTAACGGTATAGTGATATTAAAGGTATAGTGATATTAACGGTATAGTGATATTATCGGAATCGTGATATTAACGGTATAGTGATATTAACGATATTGTGATATTACTGGTATTGTGATATTATCGGTATTGTGATATTACCGATATTGTGAGATTATCGGTATCGTGATAAGAATGGTATCGTGATATTAACGGTATAGTGATATTATCAGTATTGTGATATTACTGGCATCGTGATATTATCAGTATTGTGATATTACTGGCATCGTGATATTAACGGTATAGTGATATTAAAGGTATAGTGATATTATCGGAATCGTGATATTAACGGTATAGTGATATTATCAGCATTGTGATATTAGCGGTCTAGTGATATTAACGGTCTAGTGATATTAACGATATTGTGATATTATCGGTATTGTGATATTAGCGGTCTAGTGATATTAACGGTCTAGTGATATTAACGATATTGTGATATTATCGGTATTGTGATATAAACGATATTGTGAGATTATCGGTATCGTGATAAGAATGGTGTTGTGATATTAACGGTATAGTGATATTACCAGTATTGTGATATTACTGGCATCGTGATATTAACGGTATAGTGATATTATCGGAATCGTGATATTAACGGTATAGTGATATTAACGATATTGTGATATTAACGGTATTGTGATATTACTGGTATTGTGATATTAACGATATTGTGAGATTATCGGTATCGTGATAAGAATGGTATCGTGATATTAACGGTATAGTGATATTATCAGTATTGTGATATTACTGGCATCGTGATATTAACGGTGTAGTGATATTAAAGGTATAGTGATATTATCGGAATCGTGATATTAACGGTCTAGTGATATTATCGGTATTGTGATATTATCAGTATTGTGAGATTATCGGTATCGTGATAAGAATGGTATTGTGATATTAACGGTATAGTGATATTATCAGTATTGTGATATTACTGGCATCGTGATATTAACGGTATAGTGATATTATCAGTATTGTGATATTACTGGCATCGTGATATTAACGGTGTAGTGATATTATTGGTATAGTGAAATTATCGGAATCGTGATAATAACGGTATAGTGATATTATCAGTATTGTGATATTAACGGTCTAGTGATATTAAGGATATTGTGATATTAACGATATTGTGATATTACTGGCATTGTGATATTATCGGTATTGTGATATTAACGATATTGTGAGATTATCGGTATCGTGATAAGAATGGTATCGTGATATTAACGGTATAATGATATTATCAGTATTGTGATATTATTGGTATCATGATATTAACGGTATAGTGATATTAATGATATTGTGATATTAACGGTATTGTGATATTACTGGTATAGTGATATTAACGGTATTGTGATATTACTGTTATAGTGATATTAACGGAATCGTATATTATTGGTATAGTGATAATATCGGTATTGTGATACTATTGGTATAGTGATATTATCGGTATAGTGATATTATTGGTATTGAGATACTATTGGTATAGTGATATTAACGATATCGTGATATTACCGATATTGTGATATTACTGGTATAGTGATATTAACAGTCTAGTGATATTTTCGGTAAAGTGTTTTCAGAAATCAGGTCATGATTGAAGTTTTTGATCATATTGTTTTGCACTGTTTACTCTTCCTCAAAAATGACAGCTACAGGTAAAAACCAGACATCTTGTTTCCTTACCGAACAGCTTTTGTTGCAGAGTTTGCATCGTGGCTGAAGCTGGGCGGAATTGACGGCAGAGAGACACTTCTCGCTGCACAGCTCCCTCATCGTTCCAGAGTCATCCACTGGAGCCAAAATCACTTTCTGAGGCTGCGTTATCAACCTGAGGAGGTGCAGAGGAACACTGAATAAAACAAATCACCACTAAACAAAAAGGATGAGTCAACGGGACTTACTGGAGGCAGCTGAAGCACTTCCTGATGTAAAACAAGACCTGAGGGTACAGTTCAGTGACACAAGAGGCAGAGCAGAAGAGATGCTTCGCTCTTTTCAGCTGGTAAACTTTGCAGCCTTTCATCACTCGCTTGAAGCAGCTGAAGCAAGTGATGTCATCGGCTTGAATGATGAGTCTCGCGATGTCGTCGGTCTCAGCAGACCGAGCAGCATCGGGACGATTTCCAGCCGCGTTCGAGTCGCTCCTTCCATCACCCTGCAGGGAGGATAAAAGTTCAAATGTCATAGGACCTGGTTGTTTATTTACTCAGCTCCTAAAAACAAAACTTCAGTAAACGCAGAAACATTTAAACAAACTTTACTCACAGATCTGGATTCCTGCTCCGGATCGGTTCCCGTCTGCTTTTGCCTAAGACTTGAGTTTGTATTTTCTATAGAAGAAAAAAAAAAAAGAAACCCGATTTCTAATCTTGTCATTATTACTTCTCTTGTTAGGCTCTAAATGGATATTTTAACTGCATTTCAGAATATTGTGTCTTTAAAGCAAATGCTTTATTTAAAATCTGAATTCAACTAATCATAAGTAAGGCTCAACTTGAAAAAGTTGAGAGCAGAAAATCAAATTATTTCCGTTTCTAGTCTTTTTTTTCTTTTAATAAATAAATAATTTTACTTCTTGTGCTTCAACCAATTAAATATTGCGGTCGTTATTAAAATTTCAAGCACTTTCTTAACCTTAAAAAACACAATTAAACTCATTTTGAAGAATTTTAAGCACCAAAGAACGATTTCCTGCATCAAACTGTGACTTTAGAGAATAATGACCCTGAAGCATCATGTGGGACAAACGAATCAGTAGAAAAGAAAGGAAACGAGTCTATTAAACAAACCTGGGTCTGTATTTTGACACCTTTCCAGATTTTGGGGTTGCAGCTTGTAAGACGCGATGCAGCTCTGAGAGCAGAACAGCAGCACCACGTTCTCGTTGGTCTTCAGGTCGACCATGCCAGAGACGAGCTGAGGAAACCCACACATGGTGCAGTCCTGAGACACCTCCATGCTCTGCAGATCAGAAAAACACGCTTTTAGACGAGTCCTCCAAACGTGGAAGAGTTCGGAAATGAAACGTTCTGCAGCAGCGTGAGGACAAGGAGAAGACCATCATCAGGGTGCTGAGGGGCTTCATTATTTTTGCTTCAGTTTTCCAGGCGAGTCAACGACATTAAACTCTCCTCAGAGCAGAAACTATTCATGATGAACTCAGAATACAGAGAACAGGTACACTCGGTGGTTACAGGTTTGGATTTTCCTCAGATGAAGACAATAAAATATTTTAGCACCGATAAAATGTTTTATTATTAATAACGCACTAAGCAATGTTAATAAAGGGACCCTTTATGTAAAGAACATTCATTAACACTTTTATCAGGTTGTGACGCTTCAAGGCAGGTGTGCATGTTTTACGCTCTTATTGTGAAGGATTTAAGGAAGAACCTTTGACTATGGGGATGCTGTGGCAGAGTAACAAAATAAAACGAGTCAGTATTTTGTTTACTGAACCATCTGGGGAACGAAGGTCGTTTCTTCAGGATGTTCTTATTTATTTAGACTTTAATCTCGGCGCCTCATCATCATTTTTCTTTCTGCAAGGAAACAAACAAATTTGAATTTGATGCGTGCTGCTAGCGGTAGCCAGTGGAGCTCACTGAACAGAGGGGTGACGTGTGCTCTTTTAGGCTGATTGAAGACCAGACGCGCCGCTGCGTTCTGGACCATTTGAAGAGGTCTCACAGTACAGCCTGGAAGACCAGTTAGAAGGGCGTTGCAGTAATCGAGGCGGGAGATGACAGTAGATTGCACCAGGAGCTGGGTGGCATGTTGTGTTAGGTATGGTCTGATCTTTCGTATGTTATACAGCGCAAAGCGGCATGAACGAGCAACAGAGGACATGATCTTTACAGGTCAGGTGTTCATCAATCACAACACCCAGATTTCCAACTGCCTTTGAAGGAGCTAGAGATGGGAAGTCATTTTGGATTGAGATATTGTGCTGTATGGATGGTTTTTCTGGGATGACAAGTAGATCAGTTTTAGAGAGGTTGAGTTGGAGATGGTGGGATTTCATCCATTTTGATATGTCAGAGAGACAGTTTGATATTCGTGCAGACAGTGTGGTCGTCCGGTGGAAATGACAGATAGAGCTGGGTGTCGTCTGCATAGCAGTGGTAGGAGAAGCCATGTGATCGAATAATCTCACCCAGTGAGGTGGTGTATATGGCAAAGAGAAGAGGTCCTAGTACAGAGCCCTGGGGGACTCCTGTGGCAAGATGGTGCATGGTAGAGGATTGTCCAAGCCAAGATACACTGAATGATCGTCCTGTGAGGTACGATTCAAACCAGGCGTGCGCCTTCTTTGTGATGTCCATGCTAGAGAGTGTGGACAAAAGGAAGCCATGGTTGACAGTGTCAAATGCAGCCGATAAGTCGAGCAGGATAAGCACCGAGGATTTGCCAGTCGCTCTAGCTTCTTTTAAGGATTCAGTCACTGCTAACAGAGCAGTTTCAGTGGAGTGGCCCTTTTTGAACCCAGATTGGTAAGGGTCAAGCAGACAGTTTTGTGAGAGGTATTCTGTGATCTGCTTGAAAGCCATCCTTTCAATAATTTTGGAGAGAAAAGGGAGGAGAGAGATAGGTCGGTAGTTCTCCACATGATTTGGAGGAAGAGATGGTTTTTTACCAGCGGTTTAACCTGAGCATGCTTGAGAGAGCTGGGAAATGTACCGGATATCAGTGAAGCGTTGATCACATGTGTGACTGCGGCGGCTACTGTAGAAGCAATAGCTTGGAGCAGCTTAGTCGGAATGGGGTCAAGTGGGCATGTAGTAGGGCGGTTGCACGTGAGAAGCTTGGACACAGTTCTCAGTGAGAGGAAAAAGAGGAAAATGAAGCAGTAGGGCCTGAGATGGTTGGGCTTGAAGGAGATTGTGGTAGCGAATGTTCAGGAGTGGCCAGTTGAGTAAACTGTTTGCTTATAGGTGCCACTTTGTCAGTGAAGAATGAGGCAAAGGTCAGCTGATAGATTGTTGGTAGGAAGTGGAGACGGAGGGGTGAGCAGAGTTTTAAATGTTGGAAATAGTTTCTGAGAGTCAGTAGAGCTGAGAATTTTGTCAGTGTAGAAAGCTTTCTTTGCATCAGTGATGCTGGCAGAGAATGAGGACAGTAATTCATGAAATTTCAATTGATCACAAGGATCTTTTGTTTTGCGCCATTTCCATTCCGCAGCTCTAAGATTGGTGCGTAGAGACCGGAGGGCATCATTTAGCCAAGGGTGCGACTGAGAGGATCTAGCAGGTCTAGTGGCTAAAGGACACAAGTTATTAAGACAAGAGCAGAGTGTGGAGCAGAGTGACTCGGTGGCTTCATTCACTTCATAAGCAGAGAATGTGCTGGGAGATGGAAGAGTGGAGGCAACAAGAGAGGAGAAGTGGTTGGGTGCCAGATTGCAGAGGTTGCGGAGGAATGAGACCACTGGGGAGGAAGCAGTGGACCTCCCTGGTAGAGTCGTGCTGAAACGGATGAAGTAATGATCGGAAAGATCATCAGCGGTGTGACAGAGATTGTGTCTATGGCACAGTTTCTGGTGAAAATGAGGTCGAGTGCTTTTCCAGCTTTGTGAGTTGGAGGACTTTGTACTAGTTTTAGATCAAATGATGACATTAGTGACAGGAAGCCTGATGAGCTGGGATTATCCAGGTGAATATTCATGTCTCCAAGGACCACTGTGGGACAGTCGTGCTCAGGAATGGAGGAGAGCAGGGTGTCGAGTTCATCAAGAAAGTCTCCGAGTTGACCTGGCTGTCGATATATGACAACCAAAAAGAAGTTTTTCGATAGTTACCTGGATGGCATGGTATTCAAAGGAGTTGTATTTAGTGATGGGTAGCAACTGACTGTATATCCATTTGTTAGAAATGAACATGCCCGTTCCACCACCTCAGCCAGATGCACGTGAAGTGTGGGAGAAAGTGTGGTTAACTGAGAGAGCAGATGGGGTAGCATTGTCACATGGTTTGATCCAGGTCTCAGTGAGACGTTCTTTATGCAGTCTCCAACCTACGTTACCTAAACCTGGATTATTCTGGACCCAATAGGTCCGTTTTAGAGACTTCTTTTATCACACTGGTCGATGTTTAAAGGCTGCGTGTGAGCGTGACCGACGGAAGAAGAAACCAGGGAGGGCTGCCTGCTGGCCGACGGATTTTTGGTTGAAAATCAGAAAACGCGTCACTTTCAGATGACCGTTTAGAATTAGAAAAACAAGAACGGAATAAAAATCAATTAAAACTATTAAATTATTTTGTTCATGCATCTTTGATTTATGTATTAGATATTTTTGACTCAGAAAATAGAAAAAAATGTTAATATTTGTCCTCTGTTTATTTTAAAGAAAATAAAAATATGGAAAAAGCATATTTTTTTACTTTTAGTTTTCCTAATTTCAAACGGTTATCAGGAAAAATCTGTTTTCCGACTTTTGTCAGCGAAACCACGAGCAGAGAACAAAAGGAAGTTAGTTCAGATTGTCGATACTTATGCGAATACATGCACCAGTTTCAGTGTTTCTAATCCGCGGTGGTATGTCAAAATGTGTTCCCTCTACAGAACTGCTCCCATCGCTCTGGAGTTCCAGCAAATTTGGAAAAGGAAAAACAAACACTTTGGGATTTGTCCGGCTCAGATAAGAGGAAGCAGCAGGTTTTGGAAAGATGTATTCATCTTTAATGTTCATGAGCAGGAATTTTCTCAGCAACGTAAACAAAAACAAGCCGAGGTCTCGTGATAAACAACAACAGCTTAACGATGTGGACAGATCGGAGCACCGGTACCAGTGAGATGGAGACTTTTGATAGATTTGATGAATAACTGGCAGTTTACAGATGTTCTCCGCGTGCGCGCTAGCATAGCTTCTCTCCCAGTCCTACCAGATAAAAATGGTACATGTATGAAACCCAGAAAGACTTTTTGATCAAAGTGCCTTGAATTAAGTGTTTTTACCACTGGTTTTAGCTTGTGGGACCACAACAACCGCTTTAATTCATGAGCAGAAACAGTCAGAGTCAAAATGTTAACAATTAACACAGAATTTATTAGAAACATGAACAATTATGATACAGATCAATAATAAAGAAAAATGCATCATGTGTTAAAATAAGAGCTGTAGTAAAATATCAGGTGGACTAAAGAAATATCTGATCAGCTAAATGTTTGGTTTTAGCTCTGTTTAGAAAAGGACTGTTTCTGTTTGACAGTCAGCTGATCATCAGCTGATCTCTTCTGAACTTCTGCAGAGACCAACCAGAAACATGAAGAACATCTGGCTATAAGTGAAGCAGCCAGCAGAGGGCAGCATCGCCTCTAACATCTCAGACGTTCTTTAAGGTGGAGCGGAAACAAGACCAAACATCTTCCTGAAACTTAACATGTATGTTCTACATTTACTCATGAGTGAGCGTCACACATGTACCATCTTTATCACAGGCCTGTAACATACATGTAGCCCCTCTGTTGCTGGATGTCCAGCCAGACAGATGAGTCATACCACCTTAAAAAGGTTAATAATCTGTTCTGCTGAACCGTTTCCTACTAAATATAAATTTAAGAAAACGATGACAAAATCTTGTTTGATAAATTTGATAAAATAGAAAGACAAACATGAATGAGACCTTTAACCCTCCCACTGTCCTAATGGGACAGGGGTGAGGTGGTGCTCACTCCTCACCCCTGCCACGTGGACCCAAGGGATAAACCATCAACCCTGCTCGATGGTCAACTTTCCTCGCGGGGTCACGCCCATTAGGACAGTGGGAGGGTTAAACAGCTTAAATATAAAAACATTCCCTCCATTGTTCCCGTTAGTGAAAGCAGACGTGCAACAGTCTGACTGCACAGGTGTGCACACCTTTACTGTTGTAATGTCCACAAATGGTCAGTTTTCACCTACAGATCGACCTATAGGTCATCTGTCATCTACAGACCTGATTCCATCACATGAGGTGGATTTT